CCATCCTCATTGATATGCAGCCCCAATCTGCAGCCTCGACATATAGCAATAATTGAACGCTTAGCTCAAATAGCCGCAAAAAACCGCCCGCTAATGGAGCATTTTAAATATGCGGTGATGGCCAACGCTGCGCATGCTAATCCATAAAAATCCATTCTGGAATGTCATAGGGGTCTATGAAGATTTAGGAGCAAAATGTTTTAATATATATGGACGTATTTGAGTTACTAAAGATCTCATCGTTAATATTATATTAACCCTTTCTTAAGACAGGTGTTAAAAGCTAATACAAAAAACTAACTTTATTTGGAAATTGTAGAATTTTTTTTTCAAATAACCGATTTGTGTTATATTTGTATTGCAACAACATGTTTCCTTAAATGGTTATTCGAAAAAATGTAATATCTTGACAAAATGACAACAAAATTCATGAGATTCTCGATTGCAATTTGGATATTAGACCCAAAACACCCATTAATAAAAACAATAGAAGTATATTCTTAGAGGTTTAATGCATCACAATTCGGGGTGTTTGGAAAATAAATGCCAGGCCATGAGTCAAGCTCACAGGGCAATATTTTGCGCAGGTTTCACAAGCCGTTGATTTACTTCTTCAGCAGCAGAGGAGCGGCAGCGGCGGCGACGTACGGACGGGCCACATACGGCGAGCTGTAGGCCAGAGGAGAGGTGTAGGCGGCGGCGTAGGGCGTGGCGAAACGGGTGTAGGGGGCGGCATAGGCAGCGGCGACCGGAGCGGTATAGGCGGCAGCAACTGGAGCGGTGTAGGCGGCGGTATAGGCTGCAGGGAAGGCGGCGCTGTGGGCCACCGTGTGGGCGGAGTAGGTGGAGGCGTAGGGAGCCACATAGGCGGCACTGCCCACCACAGCCGGAGCGGTATAGGCCAGAGGAGCGGCGGTCAGAGGAGCCACAATTACGGGCTTGGCAGCAGCCACAGCGACAACAGCGAAGAAGATAGCAGCCTACAAGAAACAACATAATATTATTTAAAAGGATATTTTTAAAATATTTTAATAAAAACTACTATTTAAATATTTTTTTGTTTTTTCAAATTAAGGAAAGCTTTCGACAAGCAAAAATGTATTTTATATTTACTATGATTTTATATATATATTATTTCGAAAAGCTTAAAATTATATATATAATGTTTAATTATAATGTAAAATATTAATATAAATTATCTATATATTATTATTTTACATTATAATTATGTTTTTTTTTTAACAGAATAAAAATGATCCAAATAAATAAAAAAAATATTTTTTCAGTAGTTTAATTTTGTTTTTGCAAAATAAAAAGATGCATTTTAAAGGTTTCTGCATTTAAAAAAGTCGTACTTAAAACTAGTTATTTTAAACTTACGAATTTGAACATCTTGATGGATTTGGTTTTGTTTTGGATTGTCACTTGGTGGATGGCCAATTGGTTTGTGATGTCCAACACAGCGTTGCACGGCTCTTTTATAGCCACTTACACTTTTGAGCTGCTTGCGAATGCGGATCACGCTCTTAGATCAGCCATCGATGGCTGCCAAGTCAACGACTTTCGATTGACGTTGCGCATGCGCAATTCTTGGCCGGATTGCTACTGTTTTTTTTTAAGTTTTCGTGGTCTAGAGCTGGCCATGTCTTATTTTAGTGCGTGCCTGAGCGTCCGTTACTTCGATTCGCTTTCGACTCGTCCCTGACCTTGACGTCTCCAATGCGTTTACAATTTAATAGGTCTAGCGGGTTAAACCGCCACCAAAAAGGTAGCTAAAATCGTGTGATTTATGGAAGTTATTCAAACGCTTCATCAGGAAATTATCTGTTTATTCCGCCCCATTACTGCGTGCCCATTTTAATAACCAACAATAAATCCGGCTAATCACAGTCTAATAATCCACTCTCACCGCTGGCAGAAATTAATTAATAAATGTCGCAAATGGCGGGCAAAGAGCTTACAACTCACTAATTAGAAATATCGAGTGGAGGCTGTCGTATGTGCTAAAGGACATGCTATAAGGATGCAATTCCACACACTCCCTTACTGGCTTTACAGACACATATATCCTGATACGCCTGCAGTGGCAGTCTCACACTTGAAAAAGTGTTGAAGCGTGAATTTTGCTTAAAAATGCCAATTACGCGAATTCAGAAATGCAATGGATTGGTGAGCGGTGGCGATAAAATGGAAGGGAAAGGGATTGAAAAGAATCTCTGCTCAAAAGGGTGGTAAACTCAAGGGGATGTGGAGAGGTTGCACACAAGAAAATTGTATTGATTGTACATTAAATCTTATTTTGGTGGTGTTTCTAAAATATCATTCAATATTTCAATACTATTATTTGTTGTCACAAACTGAGAAAGTTTTTGAAAACATAAAAAGTAAATTTCCGTATCCTAATAAAAAATGTTTTGAAATTCTTGTAGTCCTCCGAAGTCTAATTTGTTCATCTTAGGTTAAAACATACATAATATTTTCAAAAACATCGTAAGTCTGATCTCCAAAAAAATACTTTTGGGGTTTTTTTTTCATAAAATACAAAAGAAGCGAAACATGTTATATGATTTACACCAAGCAACTAAAAAATATCCTTGTGGATTTTTAATTAAATATTTTAAATTATTTATTTCAAAGAAAAGATTTTAACAATTAAATATTTAATCATTAAGATTTTTGTGGACGAAGAAAGCAGTATTTGGTGATTTTTTTTCTGAGTAGAATAAATTGTTGCCAGTTCTTCTTTTGGTTTGCTCGCAAGCCACTGTTGATGATGATGTTGCTGGCGAAGGATTTGGCGCGCATCCTGCCGCTTCCTTCGGTCCCTTTGTGCGGCTCAAGTGTTTGCCATGTGCCTGTGCATACGAGACAGCCTATTGGATCCCCGCTGGATGGGCATGGGTGGAGGAGGTGTCTACTAAATGCACAATCATGCTGCCAGGAGCGGGCCTCGAACTGAAAACTGCTACGGCAACATATTTGGCGGCAAACATATTTGTTTTGACACTTGACTTCCCTCCTGGCCACCAAACCACTTTCATTGTCAAGTTTGCGGCGAGGACTTGCTACTGAAATTATTATATTGGTTAATCCGCCTAAAAGCTTTGATGGCACTTCCTCAACCTTTCGCCGCCCGCCGACCGTCGATCTCTCCTTTAGCCATTTCAAGTGCAGCGCCCGCAACTCTCGAGTGGCCCGAACGCGAAGCATATCAAAGAGCAATCCCCTGGGAGCCGGGGATGATGTATATGTAGCCACGAGTGCCAGCAAGTAATTAAAAAGCAAGAAATTTCCACAAAAAGTCGCGCACAAAAATTCGCTCCGTTTGACAGGGACAAAGCTCGGGACGAGGACTTTGAAGCCAAAAGAAGTGAACAATAGAAGTTTTCGCGACTCTGCCGTATCCTATGTTTTATTCTTCTCAAGTAAAGGCAACTTTTTTTTATTTATTTAAAATGAAAATCAAGAAACAAATTGCACAGGATAATCCAAACACTTACTTTTATTCGTTGTATAAACAAAATGTAATTTCTTTGAGCTCACAATTAAGTTAAAAATCCTTAGCAAATCCCAAACATATGTTAACCAATATTGCTGCAAATAGTCATTAATATATAAAGTATATAGTATGTATCTATTTATATTTATATGAATCATCCTTTAAATGTATGTATTGATGTATTGATCCTTTAAATTTAAGCACTTGCTATCAACCAAGCTACCCCTTAAACATTCTTTGGTACATAGGGTAGCACCAAGGAACTTTGAACAAGTTGCGTGAAATATTCGCCGCACTTTTGCTTTTTTTTCAGCCATCACCATTCCCATTCCCAGACTCAAACTCAGTCGCTGGCCCAAGTTGAGTTTATTGCCGTAATAAAGGCGCAACTGCCTCTGACTTGGCCGGGGTTATGTCTGCATCAGGATCAGGATCTGGGGGCGGTGGTTGTTCGACAAAGGCGAGGGCGTGGCAGCAGCTGTGCGTGCGCGTTAATGCGTCGTTTAAGTGCCGTAAAAAGCGAACGGCACACATGACACCCCCACCTCGAGAAAACGGCCTAAGCCGTATCCGTATCCCAAGCCCTCATCAAGATGAAGTCTATTAAAAATTTTTTGCTTTGAATTCGACTACAAAATTCGAGCGACATTTGGAGGCAGTTGAAGAAGGGGCGGCCGCCTTTAAGTGGTTTCCACAAATTATTCATGAGAACAAAGCAGTTTTCCTGGGGGAAGAGCAGAAAGGCTATGGAAAACCTCCACTTTGGCTTAAAGTTTTAAAAATACCATTTAAATTTGATTGAATTTAAAGTTTAAGCAAAAATAGATTTTTGCTAGTTATGAAAATACTTAAATAAATAATTAATTAAATAATCAATTTAACGTATAATAATTGGGTTGAGAGCTTTAACTTTTTTAAATTTAACTTAATATTACATTATTTTGTATGCATCTTTATAGTGAAGGATGTTAAAAGTTTTTAATACAAACAAATGATTCATTTTTTCCCTTTATTTAATTTAATTTTGTTAAAATTATTTAATTATTTAGCTCAGCGCTAAAAGTTTAAACTTGTGACTATTGCGCTAGTCGCATTTTTATAATCAAAGTCATAGTTCTTCTTCCAATAGTCTGTAGTTATACAATAATTCAGGTATCCATTAAAATCCTTCGCCATTTGAATAGCCACCCCTCAAGAGGGATTCTGCGATCATAATTGCTTTACGGCCTTTGTTCCGCCTTGTGGGTTGACGCATTTCAATTACCCAGCCCGCGGTTACAAAGTCAAATCGAATTAGGCCCGCGGCACGTGCCGAGTGTGCGTGTGCACCAACAACGGATCGCATCGGATGGGAATTGGATTGGCCCACTAAACTGACTGAACGGAGTCAAAGACTTTGAGCTGCGATGTCATCGATGCCGGCTGCATGGGTAAACGTAAACGCGGCCTTGGAATCCATGTGGCTGTGGCCACTATATAAACTGGCAGGTGCGATCGATTCAACATCAAATCAAGCTCACAGCTCCAAGTAGTCACTACTAGCTAACAAAAAACCAATCAAACAATCAACATGAAATTCGTAAGTGCTTCGAGGACTTTAATTATTTTAGGGAAGCAAATAACTTAAATAATTTCAATTTAAAACCGTAGTTCGCCGTCTGCTTCTTCGCTGTTGTGGCTGTGGCTGCTGCCAAGCCCGGAATTGTAGCTCCTCTGGCCGCCGCTCCTCTGGCTTATACCGCTCCGGCTGTGGTGGGCAGTGCCGCCTACGTGGCTCCCTACGCCTCCAGCTACACGGCCAACACGGTGGCCCACAGCGCCGCCTTCCCCGCAGCCTATACCGCCGCCTACACCTCCCCCATTGCCGCTGCCTATACCGCCCCCGTTGCCGCCGCCTACGCCGCACCAGCTGCCTACACCGCCGCCTACACCTCTCCCATTGCCGCCGCCTATACCGCCCCCATTGCCCGCTATGCCGCCACCCCCTTCGCAGCTCCCATCGCCGCCCCCGTGGCAGCGGCCTACACCGCCCCCATTGCCGCTCCCGTTCTCCTGAAGAAGTAAACAGACCGACTGTGAATCCCATCTTGACCAATCTGTGTAAATAAAGAATTGTACATACCAACGAAGCCGAGCATTTCTTTTTCTTACAAAAGTATTCACACTGAAAGAATTTTTGTAATTAAAATAATTTGTATTGACTTGAAAAAACGTTATAAAAGCTTTGAGCATTACCTCATTATTGGATAGAATCTGGCATAAAAATAGCTTTATAAACTAAAATTCGAATTCATATACAATTTCAAAAGTAGCAGTTTGCCAAGTTTTTTTTTTAAAATAACAACATTTTATTTTATAATTAACTTAGAAGATTTAAAATAAATGTTCAACCACATTGTAAGTTAAATCGAAGTTTAAATTTATATTTGATTGTAGATTGCTTAGTTTTCGAATACAAGCCTTACATTTGCTTACTCTTTTATAGCTGTGGTTTAACCACATTTCAGAGGAATTATAATAAATAAAACAAAAAGTAAATGGTATTTGGACAGTGAACTACTTCCCTTTTCTGCTATGCAATTTGGCCGAACAAAATGAGCTCCTTTGGCTCTGAGTAGTGATGGGGAGCAATTTGTACTCCGCTTTTACCACTCGGTTCAGTTTAGCTTAGTTCTTATCGAAAGCCCGGCATCTGGCGTCCCCTTTTCCGCGTTTTCTGCTCCATCGGCACCTAGGCGGCAAGTCTGCGCGTTGCCTTGGCTAGGATTAAACTTTCCATTTAAAAGGATTTCTTTTCTATATGAAATATGCTTCCTTTCAGCGTTTCCTGCGCGCTCTCTCCTTTTTTTTCGCCCCATCCGCAGCCAGCGGCTGCAGTCAAGTTTTCTGCTTGACTTTGTCCTGCGCGTTGAAAGGCCCGAGTGGAGCCTTCTGCTCCCCCGGCGGTCTCCTGCTGCTCCTTATCATAACTTTGGCATCGCCAAGCGCCCTTTTTCCTCCCCCTCCCCCCTCGCTCAGGTGGTAAATGCCAAGTAGTTGTAAAGTTTGCTACCTAAGCGGAAAGGACTAGTAAAATCCACGGAGGGGAAAGTCGGACGAGGGGTAAAATGGTTGCCCCATTTTCGCAAGTTCTCGCAACAGATAGCGTCCAAATTTAATGACCTTTTATTCAATAAAACTGCGTAGAGCACAGGCAACTTTCTGCCGTTCCCTGTTGAATATTGCTCGCTGTCGCCCTATCGTGTTTGTCATCGGTTTTTTATTTTTTGCCTGTTTTTTGTTGGCTAAAAGTTGTCAAAGGTAAGCGAAAATATGATAAGCAGGATGGCAAGTTTGTTGAAAGGATTTTGTTCGTATAATGAGCAAAACTTTGGGGGCTTCAAATAAAATTCAGCCTTTTAAAAATTGTGTTATACAACAACATATAACATAAGTGTCCAAATTTAATTCCGTTTTTCGTCTTTCAGCTATTTTCATTGTAAAATTAAAAAAGCACAATAGTTTATCCAATTATTGTAAACTAAATGTTCGCACCAAATCATATATCTTATTCCACAAATATTAAGCTCTTTAAAATATTTTGTCTTGAAAAAATCGATGAAATTTCTTTAAACCCCAGCCACCAAAAAAAAAATCATTGCATTAAATCTATTAAAAATATTTTATTTCAAAAAATCATTAATTTAAATGAACAAATTTTAAACTCTTTTACCAGTTTTTAATTTGACCAAAATATGGGAATTTATTTTAACTCAAAGCGCTATAACAAGAAAACCCTTGCAACTTTAAATCGCTTTACCCTTCGTTAATTCCGTGGCAGAGTCGAAATGTGGCTATTTTGATTGCCAGTGCTGTGGCAATGGCAATTGGCAACCAGTGTTTGTATGGCAACTGGCGAAGCAATAAAACCGAGCAAATGAAATTTGTATTCACTTTATATAATTTTGACGATTTTTCAAATCAAATACACACCCGCACACACACGGACCGCACATACGTCGGTTGGCCCACTACATACATATGTTAGAAAGATTCCCTTTTTTCGAAACGAACACAATCATGTGCAAACGTGTTTTTCAAATGGATTACATGAATAAAAGATTTATACACGTAAGGTAAATCAGTAGCGGGTTACCAAGATACTCACCGACATCCTGCCCTTCCCGAAATACCTCCCTTCTACCGCCCACAACTCCCTATTCCCAACTGAAGACGTGCAAGTGAAAATATGCGCAGATGTAAGCAAATTTGTGGAACGACCAGAGGGGGAAAGCTGGAAAAGAGAAAACCCAAATGGAAAATCCCTCAGAACGCGGCTGAAGGTAGATGATGCCTCTTGCCATTTATTGATTTGTTTACCATTTTATGTATTTATGCCGCTTTGATTTCAGGCGCCAAATCGAATCAAGCGCGAGGGAAAAGAAAACAGGATTATTCCGTGCTCACACAAACAAAAAGTCATACAAATATTCACAGTAAAAAAAAAGGACATGATAATATATATACTTTTCCTCCTTTTAATTTCCTAAGGTTTCTTGAACGTTTAAGTTGACACATTTTAGAGATAAAGCAAATTTATTTAAATATTGTTAATTTCAATTTGGCCATAAATTTGCTTTTTATAATAACACTGCTCATAAAATGTTCCTTAAATCGAATACAACTTCACGGATTGTTTCAAGCACTTCAAAGTGATAAATAATATATTGCGGACAATAAAACAAACTTCATTATTTTAGGTTACATGTAAGAAATTGTAACAATAATCTTCAACAAGAAAATCTTAAATTGTATCTTTTCATACATTTAATAAGTGTTACATTCCTACTCTAAATATATAATTTATAAATCATTTTAAAATGCTCCTGTCTCCGTATAGTAGGAATAACCGCAAGTTCAGCTATCCAGCACAAAAGACAAGAGCAACAGGCATTGGACTCATCGCCTTAGATACGAATAGTAGGGATACGTGGCGTATGCGCCATAAACCGGTGCATACGCATACGCCGCGTAGGCCGGATAGCTGGCATACGCCGGATAGTAGGCGGCGGAGGAAGGAGCCAGCCAAGCGCCTCCCGCTCCGGTGGCATAACTCACTGGCGTCGTGACCAGCAGCTGGGGCTTCGCCTGGCTCAGGACCGCGAGCAATGCGAGCTGGCAGGATTATTGATACGTTTTGAAATATCCACATATATCTGGATTCCGAGGGCAGAACGTCGGCACACTCACCATTAAGACCTTGACCAACATGGCTCCCTTTCGATTACTGCTCCTCCGGTTGACTTAGCGTACGAAATTCAAAATTTTACTGGTCGATGGGTTCGGTCGGTCAATCATATTTATAGCCTTTGGCTGGATGACATGGGATCGGCGAAGAGAATCGCCGAGAATCGGGGAGAGAGCCGGAGAAGTTGCGCCATCATTAATATTGCTAGACCTGAGCGCGCTGAGTAGCATAAATTATATTCTTAATGCTGTTTGAAATTGCTGAGAAAGAATAAATATAAGACAACGACCAATAAAAACACAAAATGATGAAATTCGGAATACTCTATGGGTCATTAAAATGTTATTAAAAAGTGCTTAAGATGAAAGTAATTTTAGAATAATGATAACCGCAAATTGAATACTTAAATGTCGTCACAAGGTCCTTTTAATACTTATTTATTATAAAAAATTAAATACAATGGTAATTTAATTATAATTTATAATTTAAGGAATATTTACCTGCTTGTTGTTTAATAATATTTTAAAATATTTGTATTAGTTGTGTTCAATTAAAATAAATATATCTAATATATTAATTATATATATATATATTCAACATTTAAGAAGGGCATGTGCAAGGCAAAAAGGAAAATAAGTGAAAGTGGAAAAGAAATCTTTTTAAAAATAATTAACAATGTTAGGAATCCATTAAAATTAAAAAATATTTGTATTTTTCTAAATAATATAGAAACAATAAACACCACTGCATACAATAACCATCCTTTCGCTTTCTCTCGATGAAGTTTTTTCGTATTTAGAACCACATCCGGCTGCGTCACAAAGTTTGTCTAACGCTCAAGCATTCCATTCCAGTGCTGCTACCCTTTGTATTTTTTTACAATTAATGGCTAGCAGCGAACGTCGCGCTACCTTCTTTGGACTGTCATTCATTACTACAGGTAGCACCGCCCTACCTGACTCACTTCGAAGCCCATTCCCCTGAGAACTGCCCCTGTGCATAACGTATTTGAGTTTATTTAGACGTTGTAAAAATTATAATTATGTGTGCGTGCCTGTCATGCACATGAGCCTGAAATCGGGGATTGAAACAAAACCATATTTTGCGATCACAGTGGTTAGATAAGTCGCCAGGGTGACGTCTTGCTTAAAGCCTCCGGTCTAGGACACAACATTTACGCCAGCAAAATTTGCAACTCGGTAAACATGGGTAGCCAACGATGGGTAGCTGGTTTCGCAAGCTATAAATAATTAATTAATTCAGAGGCAGACAAGCGGGGGAGACGAGAGCGTTCTATGCAAATTTCTGAATATAGACCATAAATTCACAGCCAAGCGATGAAGCCATCATTTATGCCCTACCTTTAACTGTGTACAATGTACATTGTGCACTATATAAGTAGATGCTTATGCTGGCCATAATTATATATGTATGTCGTCGATATACTTGCGGATATTAAGTTGCGGCAAGTTCACTGACCACCGATGGACTCCACCGGCCAACTCCGCTCGACCACGCCCAGCCAACTTCATGGAAAGTACTTCGGAAAACTGCTTTTAGCGACAGTTTTCCACTGCTCTTTTCCGTATTTTTTCGTTGCTGGCTGGTTTTTTGCTACTAATTCCCGGCTTGCTTACAAAATGGCAAATAGTCGCAGCTGGTAGCCATTTCTCTTGTATTTCCCTTTGTTATTGATGCCCTGGATAAGTAGGGGCTAATTGGGGTTTTTGGGCTGTCTCAATTTGAAATGTATCGCATTTGATTTAAAATATTGAATAGTTTAGAGAGTTATTTAAATAAATAAATTGAGTTTTTTATATTAATTGTTAGCCGGCTCGAGGTCAGGATGTTGAAAAAATAACACAATTTTTTTTAATTTTGGTTATTTGTCAATATATTGATTTGATTTGTTGATTTAAATTGTATGGCAGAAATTCCATTAAGTTTGTATCTGTCCTACTTTATGTTACTTTACAAAGCAAAAAAAACTGCGGTTATACTTAGCATAGGAAACTAGAACCCTGATTTCAAATTTTGTTTTTAATATGACTGACCAAACCACAAAGGGGTGTCCCCATGCTCATTCAACTCCTACAGTACAGCTCAGCTTTCTGTTTTCGCAAAAGCTGCAACGGAAACATTGCATAATTAAAAAATAGCTGCTGTTTACGAGTTGATTGTTTGTTTATTGTGTAGTCATCTCCAGCTTTATCCCTCCCCCAAGCCCCCTTTCGCATTGGCATTGTTCCCTTTTCGCAAGTTTTTAATTTAATAAAGCGTAGTACATATTTAAATAAATTAATGAGCAGCGCAGCTGGCGGTGTTAATGTTGTTACAAGTGCACAGGAACTACACAAACAGGTGCCAGGAAGTTTGCGGATTGGCAGGATCCTCTACTGAAAAAGCTGTTCCCTCTGCCTAAGCAACAAGCCGAGATCTCCGGCCAGGTGCTCATACTCTTCATCCAGGCGGCTGAGCATCTTGCGAAGGACATCCGGTCTGATGACTCCGCTGCAGTGGGTCTGGCACAGTTCTATGACCTTGGCCAGGTGGACCATTCGCTCCCGCTGAAGTTCCTCCTGCAGCTCCAGCTGGTGATTCATCTGGAGCAGATCCGCCTTGGTGGGTGATGGTTTCTTAGCCAAAACACTCTGGCGGTAACGACGCCAGGTGTTGCGTCGGCATACGAGCATCTTGTGGCGGTGCCACTTGAGAGCCACCTGCTCGAATCTCCGATCCAGAGCTTTTAATTTGCCAAAGTCCTCCAAGCCTCCACATTCGCGGAAGCAGGTCCTGAAAAACTTCAGGTGATTGGGTTTTCCGCGCCAGCGTTTCAGACGTTCCAACGCTTTGTAGGATCCATCTATAAATCCATTGACCCTAAGTTCAGTTTCTTTAGTATCATTTGGAGGCGCAGGCATATCCTTTAAGTCCTTCAGAGTGCCATCCAAATTGTAGTACTGCAAGCACTGAACACGTAGCTCCTCCCGGCGAGTCAACAAATCTCGAACGGTTTTGTCCTCGAAAAAATTTGGGGCAGGAGATTGCCCTCCAGTTTGCCTGGGCATCGAAGCAGGAACATCCTCCTTGCAGCTCTGATTGTTCCACGGGGGTACAGGTGACGGATTCCTCGGTTTGGGTGAGGGTGTAACATATTCACCATCGGAACTGTTCCTCAAACGTTCGGCCATTTCTTCGAAACAGCTTTTCAGATTGTTCACAGCACTTGAACGACGGGTAACCTGATCTATGATATTGGTAATCTTCATAAGTTGCTCCTGAGACTTGGTCTTAGAGTTATCGGCTCTCTCACTCCCAACGGCTTCATTACTGGAGCCAGAGACCTCACTATGACTAGAGCTGAAGCTTTTGTGGTAGTATTTTCTGACATTCTCCAAGGAACTTGTACTCAAAGGAACTCGCTTATTTCTGGAGAGCTCCTCCTCTAGGGCTTGAATTCTATGCTTCACACTTTGTATTTTAGTCTCTTGAACGCATTTCATGCAAGTTTCGGAGCCCTCCTGCGAAGAATTGGGATGAGAGTTTCCCTTTCGGATCACGGTTACCAAGCTGCCAAAACTGCTGGAGTTGGGCTCGGAAACCTCTTGAATCGGTTCCAGTTTTCTGGTCCGCAGTATGTGACTAGTGGTCCTTTTGAAGGACACAGTCCGGGAAGGAGTGGAGGATTTGCCTGCCTCCAATCTGGGCTTTTCCTTTGCTTGCGATTCCGAGACTCTGTTGGTGAATTTATTATTCTGAAAAGACACATTCTTACATGGCTGACCCCTGTACTCGTCCAAAATCTCATTTAGATTGCGGCTGCAATTCAACACATTCGCGAAGGGTTCCTTGAGAGAACCAAAGTCCTTCAAGTGGCCATGCATCAGCAGCATCAGACTATTCCGTGCCAGCTTCTGGTCGATCGGAGTCCTTTCGAACACCTTCATCCACTTGGCCATTATCAGGCGATCCGACGGATTGGCCCTCGAATGGTCTACATCTCTGTAATTGGCCACCTGCTGTCTGAAATGGCGGTCCAGTAAATACTCGCTCGGTTCTGTCATTGCCATATTTTCATTTTTAGTTGGAGTCTACTGTTTTTATTGCCAAAAATTAGTTTTGAGTTTTACTTAAAAATTTGAATGCTTTGAATGAAATCAACCCGCTGGCTGAGACCGGGAACGGGAAATGTAAATGGAAATGGAGTGAGATTATGGGGCTTTTCTATGCGGCTGTCACTGAGCTTTTCTTAGCCGCAGGCTGCATCAAGTGGTAGGCCCAGGTCTGAAAACAAGCACAAGAAGCATAAGATGTACTCTGAAAAAAATATACAAGCTTTTGAAAATATCTTCTTTATTGGCGATAAATTAACATTTTTAAGAGCTGTAAAATTTAAAATAAGCTTGGGATAAAATTTAATGTTTGTTAAATTTTTTATTTTTAGTTTAATTAATTTCCAATGCCCTGAATTCAAATTCCAAGAATATTTTTTATTAGATCGAAAACAAGTTTTACTTTACAGGGGTTGGTTTTTAGAAAATATAAATTTCTTATATTAAAAATGTTTATTTTATTTATACAATTTTATGTTAAATATCTTCAAGATCTGGACTAAAAATGTTTGGATTTTATAAACAACTTTAATGGCGATGTTCTGGCAATATTTTAGAAGTGTAATAGCAACGGCAGCAAAAGAGTGTGCGGTTGCGTTGCCACGTAAATTTTCATTAGCACAGCCCGCGTATAAATTAGGAAAATGAAGCAGCAGCGGCAGCAGGCACTTGAAGTGCACCGCAACCTCCATCAAGATGCCTCCTGGTGGGATGAGTGGGTGGTGGGTTGAGGGGGAGGTGAATGGGTGGAAGGCAATGGGCGGCTTAACCGCAACGACAACAACAACAGCGTTACGTAGGTGCTGCGGCTTGTGGCGAACTGCGAGCAAAAGTTGCAAACGACCGCCTGCCTGCATAAATTTATATTGTTAAACATGAGCTAGAAAAAAGCACGCGCCGGCTGTCAAAACAAAGCAAAAAGCAGGCAAGAGCAATGAAAAAGAAATGGCCTGACATGCAAAAAGCGGTTAGGAAAAGTAAGGTTAAAGCATAACGTACCTTGTAAAAATAGAATACCTTAGTAATAGTGCAGTTCAGACTTATAAAAGGCAATGGGATCCTAGCGAACTTTTTTTTAATACAAAATTCGGTTTTTATTATTACTCACTCGTGTCAAACTGATGACAAGAAGAAAACTAAACTCTTGACAATAATGTTATTACAATATCATTATTCAAACTCCAGTACTGCTGCAAGGAACTTGCTTTTAATATTTTTTAATCAATTTTAAAAACAAAGAGGACTAGCTTTAAAAAAAAAAGTTGAACATTTGTTGTTTCTCTAATTCATATGTTTTTGCTTTACAAACATAGGTAATAAGCCCATTCATTAGTACCCCTATTTAACTTTTAAAGTCCGATAATCATTTGGATTTTAAGTCGATTTCAAAGAATGACCAACGATCTGGCAACGCCTACCTCTCAATCTACGATTAGTGCGATTTGGTCATACTGCTTTCTGCGCACGCGTGGCGTGGATCTCTATTTTCTTTTTTTTTTGATTAAAATGGATTTTGAGAACTTTTATCGCACAAGTCAGGTAAATGGCACTATTTACATAACCACGCGTAAGGAGCTGGACAAGGATCTTAAGTCCTCTCTGGAGGAGGGAGCGGGTGAGGTGAGCTCTTAAAATCGCATACAATCAAAAAAAGTTTGTAAAAAAAAAAGTTATACAATTTAAGTTATTTCTCACCGCTATCCGCCAAAATCCGCATTGCACACCGGAAAAGATTGTGGAGGTGGCCAGTGAGCTGGGTGAGATTTACGCCCTGCGCTTCAAGATCGATTTTTCGGGGCAAAGTCGCGGCTATGCCTACCTGCAATACATCAATGAAGCCCTCAAGGAAGCGGCACTGGAATAGTAAGCTATTCGCGTTGCCAATGACATAGAAATAGTATTAATTGATTGTTACAACTTTAGCCTGCCCAGGAGATTCAGCCAGTTGAACATCCAAATCAGGGTACTGACTTCGAACAATAACCGCGAGTTGTTGCTAAATCGGGTGCACAAGAGCTTCAGTCCATGGCAAGTTTACCAGGAGATGCGCAAGATTTATCCCTTTGCCATCCTTCGGGTCTACGAGTTCCGATACAATGAGTTCATCTACATATTTGGGTATCGGAACAACGATGCTGCTGCCAATGCCCATCAGAGCATAAGGAACGCCATCAGAAGGTTCGGTGGCCGTGCCCACATCTCCTGGTTTAGTCGGAAGAATTATCTAAGTGGGGTAAAGGTAAACTCCTATTGCTGTCGGAAATTGGACAAGGAAAACATCAAGCTGGTACCAGGCATTGCAAATAATTGTTTCAAATTTTAAAAGGAACCGAAGATGTAGACGTTCTGTTGTGATATGGGTGATCCTGCATCAGATTTCGAAAATTTATTTTCCCTTATTTTATCAAATGAAAAATATCTTAACAATCTTAACCACAAGCTTATAAGACTTTTAGTTTTTTTTGTGTTTAACAAACCGAGAGTCTTTAGAATTTTAAAAATACGGTTTAAATCTCCAAAACAACAATATAACAATTTATTGTCAAACATTCTTTTTTGTATACTTTTTGTAAAATCCTTTTTTAATCGTATTTTTTATTATAATTTTAGTATTAAAATTGCTATAGTACAGTAGTAATACACTTTAATAAAAGAATACGTTTTTTTCAAGAGACTGTGACACCCCAGATATTGAATGGCTTTGCCTGACTATTCGAGCGAAGCATGAACTTTTCCGAGATGTTGAAGCTGACTAAAAATTGCAGCTTGCATTGTTCCTGGAAATCCTTTTGGCCTGAAGCTCCTCCGTCTGGCGATATGCAGCCGCAGTTTGTTGACTTCATTAACTCTGGGTAAAAACAGAGAGCAGCAATAAAAGTAACAAAAACAACAGCGGGCTGCAGTTTTTCACATGCAAATTAATGCAGTGTCTTTGGAGTGGCGGAGTGCCAGGACTTTCAGGGCAATGCGACAACCTGCGGCATAATGCAATTAAATGAGTGCAGCGAGCAGGAGTCGCAGCCGCCGGCTGTCGTGGTATTAGACTACGGACAACGTGGACTCCAGAGTGCAATGATCGACGGACAGGAGAGGGGAGTGTAGTGGAGCACCTGCCAGCTCATCCGTCAGGCCAAGGATGCGATGCGAAGGACGAAAAACGCAGGACGGGTCCGCAGCGCATTCTAATGCGATTGCCGCACTTGACGGGATGTCGTGGCAAGCGGAAACGGATGTTGTTGTCCTGCTCGCCCCGCCCTTTCTGCAATTAAGTTAGAGCCTGAAATCGAAATGCAGTCAACACGATGATGCAAAAATAAGAAGCGGCAAAACAGTCACAGCCTCATAAATATTCATTAAATTAAGATTAAGTCGAGACATCTTCAAGGGGAGGCGAGAACAAGACGAGCTGAATGTTTTCCAAAATCATTTGCATTAATTTGTTAATTCAAGCGCGACAGCCACGCCCCTGTTCACTCACTTAAAGGCCATTAAAATTTCAAAGCCATGTGAGCGTATGTGCGGGGCTTAACCCATGGCAATCTGCTGCACAAAGCCCTCCACTCGTCGTTGAAGGGTTAAAGTCATGAAGCCGCATATGTGACGCAATTACAAAAGCTCGAAGTTTGCTTCGAATTTTCCTCTACTTGCCATACCAGCGCTAGCATATTTCGTCTTACAGATGAGATCAAAATGGTAGTCTTTGTAAAGTACGTACATATTCCTCCGACGACACCTGTAACCTGTTAGACAAGTTAATATTTGCTAATATGTTTAGTCCTTTTTGAATAACTTATATCAATCATCGTCATTAATTTGTTATAAAATATTAAAGAAAAGTGTAAAATCACTCAGCAACAAAAAAAGCTAAAATATAATATTTTAAACAATTAACCAGGCCTGTGAATATTAAATACGTTTTCTTAATTTTTTAATGTTTCTTAAAATGTTATGAGCTTGCAAACATATTTTTTTTTATTGTTTTACTTAGATTAGATTGGATCCGATTTCTCTAAGTGAAAGAAAAGCTTTTAGTTTTCTATATCAACTTGAAACCACACAAGTTAATATTAAAAGTGGTTTCGTAAAACAACTATCGTAATGCCGCTGTTTTCCTGGTCACCACTGTAGGGCGACCCATTTTCGAGTCTGTGATAGAGCCTGCGCTTACCTGGTTATTGCGGCAAGTGCCAATATTTGCCTTTTGATGCGAGCAGCAAAGGATATATAGGGAAATATGGTGTGGGGCAAAAGTCAAGTAGGGGAGTGCAGCAGTGGAGGAGCGGCTGCCAACTGACACAGTTTGTTTTAGGCTTTAAGGCGGTCGCTCCTTGGATTTGGGTCACAGATTGCCTGGGACAAAGGACCCGAAGGAACGGCGTAAGGGGAATCGGGCCCTGTCACCGGAAAGCGAAAGTTATGCACATATTGAGTTCAAGCTTTAAGGGGAATTTTGCCAGTCCAATTTCTTGCCGGTTTCAGCTTTTTGAGTGCGGTTTTAGTTTCGTTCTTGGCCCTTTCCTACAATTTTCGTGCATTTCTCTAACCGCATCTGCAGCAAAGAGCATGACAGATAAGGATGTCGATGGGTATGTGATGGGATTGAGGATGTGGCACTGGATATGGATGCGGATGCGGACGTGGTGGGGTACGAACCGCCAACCTGCAGCACTTAACGCGAATTTTTTGATGATTTTTTTAGCAACTTGTCGTTGGCTTGGAAATGCCATTACCGACATGCATCATGCATATGGATGACTTTGCTTGTTTTTCTGTGCTCCTCCTCCGGTGGCTTTGGTTTGGCCAGATGGAATACGAATAATGGTTTTTGGGTGGCACGCATTCGAGATGAGTTTGAATCCGTCTTTAAAAAGTTAGCAGATAGTTTGCCGCTGAAGTTTGCATGTTAACTAGTCCTGAAAAACTGAAATGTTTTCTTTACCAATGGAAGCACTGCAGCTGCGAATATTTATACTGTGCTTAACTTCTGTCGCCAGCAAAAAATAAAAACATGTAACAAAAAAAACAAAGTTTTTATGACAAAAGACAAACAAGCTCATAACAATTACCTTTGTAAAACCGAATCATTGTTTCAATTATGAGCTTACAGCGATTTTATCAGAGTTGAAAACTTGTTTAAAGTTTTACCATTTAAGGTTGTCGAATCAAATGAAACTATCTTAAAAGCAATTACACAATTGGTTTACAAAATGTTTATTATTATTGCAATTGTTTTATACATTGTAGTTTTTCATATATTTTGACCTAAATTGATATATTTGTTCATTCTTCGTATTTGGTATAAAAACATATATTAGTTAAATAACCTACTACATAGGAACAATATTTTGCATGCTGTCGAACAATAATCTACACATTAGCAATTTATTTTAATGCCTATTCAAATTAAACGGCTCTTAAATGACTAATTCCCAGTCATATAAGCTTTTGAAGTGCATGCAAAAACCCATAAAACGGTTATTATTTTAACAGGATTACTTTCACTTCGATATTTTTATTTCTTACCAAAGCCGACTTCATAATCGATTCCGTACAAATACTAGAGGAATATTTTCTTGCCTTTTGCCATTGGCAAACATCCTCTTGCCCACCAGCTCATATTTTATTAATCAATTTAATTTTGTCGCCAAATGTTATGAAAATTTGCCCAGATGCTGCCCGGACTGTGATGACAGCACAAGTTGATAATGACTAGCCTGAAGAGGACCAAAAGTGCCAGAAGTTAAAACAACACTTTTATTGACTTTTACGAAATGCCTTCCGAGGATTTTTGGTCGGGGACTAATCGCCACCCGCTCTTGGCACTCTGGATGTTGGCGATGAAATTAATGAAAAAACTTGTGGGCGTTGCCGTCCGAGTCGGATATAAAACACAAAAATATTTATATTTCATAAGACGGGTAAACGCGAGGATGAGAGGTGGGGGGATGCGGTCCTTGAGGTCGTATTAAAAAATTCCCAACAGCAGCAATTGGGAACAGTTGTTTTCGCTGGCAAATGAGTTTACGAGCGTGTCGTGTCCTGGTTGCCTTGTTTATGCTGCATATTAAATAAATTTGACATCAGCCACGACAAGTACTCCGACTCTGGATTTCGTCTTCTGCGTGTTTTCGGCAACTTTGCTTGCTGACAATAAAATAACATTTTGCACTCACTTAGCCCAGCTGGGCAGCCCCACTTCTCGGCCAAATTTGCCACCGTTCGAGAGTTTTAATGAAAAAAGTTTCCGACTGCGAGCCATATTTATGCCGCTGCATACAAACTGGCCTCATATTTTTATTCCGGAAATTTGGTAGCAATAGAGTTGATTTTTGTACGCAATTTATTATATTTATATACATATGTACAAAGACGGCTTCATTAAAATGTACACTTGATCATTGCTTGAATTTCTTGGGCAAACTTTCCATGAAGGAGCGTGCAAGGATGTGGCATAACAATATTACGCATACGCAACGTGAGCTGGAGCTGATGCTCCATCGGAAGCCCGTGAAGCTGGTTGTCAGTCGCTCGTGGGCACTGCAAATCAATCAATAAAACGCCAGGCGAAGTCAATCGTAAGGAATTTTGCGCAACACCCACTCGAACGCATATTGCTTTGTGAAAAACACACTGAGCAAAGTGATTTATTCGTGATTAAGTAAGTGTAATAAAGCTTATATATAAAGGTTTTTTTTTAATAAATGTATTCCTTTTATTTTCTTAGCTGTTCATTTAATAGCTCAGCATTTTAAAATTTTTAGTGATTACTTGTCATAATTACAAGAATCATAACTGTGAATGTATGCATGGAGGAATATGAATCAGTTATTAAAAAACATTTCAATTCACTTATATTAATTTTATTTAATAAATTTACGTTGAAATTCAAAAAATCTGGTAATATAGTACATTTCGATTGATATAAATTTTTTTATACATGCTAACATGACAATATATTTTTAAAAAATATTTTTTTTATTTTTGTTTTTCCTAAAAAATAATAGCCTTCTGAGCGACCTAGTTTTGGTTTTGTTTTACGATCAAAATTGACCAACAAATTGTGTCAACAGAACCAAAATATTGCAAATAGTATTGCCAATTAAGTTCAAGTGTTTGCCAATTGATAAAGTGACTTGTGGCAGTTAATTGAACTATGATGTCCCCATTTATATCGGTCAGTACTCAATTTTCCGGCAGTGTGTGAAATTTTCAAATGCTATGCGCAATATTGAAGCAGCTGCTCATACTTTAGCTAACATTCCGATGGAGAGTCAAACGGCCCGTCAGTTGGTGCTGACTGACAATCGATTATTGCAGAGTGCAAAATAAAACGTCAAATGAAATAAAGCAGAGCGGAATGGAATAAAAATACAGAAATGTATTTACTATGTACCGATGTGTATACATATATAAGATATGGCTAGCAGGCTGGCCGTTGCTTTGGCATTGGCTGCCGACATCGGATTCCTTCAGTCGAACGGCAATTTAATTTCAATTTCTCCGTTGCCAGGCTCCGCTTTCTCCCCATTTCTTCGTCCGATTTCACATTATTTATGGTGCAATAAAAAAAATATGTACACCAACGTACGGAGGCAAAACTTTGCATTAGCATAGCAACAATATTTGCCTACTCTTTTGTCCTTGCCACAATTTTGTTGCGAAATTTCATTATGAACGGATGTCGCTTAAGTGCACATTGAATTCAATTAGAACCCGACAACCCATGCAATTCTACATTCTCCGGGCTATATATACATAGGTTGTGGATGTGCAGACATACCCACAGATTCAAACCTGCCAATTGGAAATTGAATTATAAAATATTTCGCACACTCACACAGATTGGCATGCAAACACGGTCGATGAGATGTCCTTCTGAGACGCAGTTTCATCGAAACAGGACATAGGAAGTCACAACCAGATGCCGTCTCTGGGTGCGAGTGTGCGGTTCCGATCGGAATGCGCCACATTAAGAAGTCAACTCGTTCGGGTGTAAATAAAGATGTTTTCCAAGAAATTTCGATTAAAAATGGTGCCGAAAAAGTTTCCCAAGGAGCATTGTTTCGTCAACTAAAAGTTGGCTAAAGTATGCGATGTGAGTGGAAAGGCAACGAAATTTGGCAGTGCAATGTTGACCATTAACTTGAAAGTCAAGCCAAAACATTCCCTTTATTCAACTTATTAGTTCTTAAATTAAATTGGTATACCAAAAAAATAGCCTTAAACATTGGTTTGATAGAATAAATAATGGCATTCACTTCTTTACTCATTATAATTTTCTGAATCAAACTAGTTTACCGTTATATATCGGTTTTTGGATTCGTAATGGTTAAGTTTATAAATTTATAAATGTTTATTTTGTAAGATGATGAGATTAAATAACACTCTTAATTACGTTTTTTTATATATTATTTTCCTCGTGCATTAACATTATTTAATTTCCCCACAACCATCCATTCTAAAAAATGCTTGAAAGATGGATAATCCCAAGCACAACCCACTCGTTTCTGTTCAATGTGTCTACACAAAAGCATACACCGGCGTTCATCTGGCTAAATGTTGCTGGATTCTTTCCGCCTCTAAATTTGCTGGCCAACAGCAGGCGGCTTTTGGCCAACCAAGATGCTGTACTGGGGCTTCCTGCATCCTGTCGTTTCCTGTGCACCACCAAACCGAATTCCGATCCGGCTCCAAGTGGGCCAGAAGCTGCATCTGCTTCTGCTACTGCTTCTACTAGTGCTGGTGCTGGTGCTGTGGTGGCCATTATTTCCTGTATTTAATTGCACTACTCTCGGCTGCGGTTTTCTGCTACATTTGTTGCCGCCTGCAACCGACCAAGGACTATAATGTACTTTGGCTAACCAGCCGGGCAGTGCAGTGCAGTCGGGACTCTAGACCTTCTCCTTTCTTCCTTTTTTTTTTTTGGGTTGATTGCCGGTTTCTTCTTTGCGACGTATTTGTTGGTCACTTTGCAGGAGCAGCCATCAAATGATTTATACTTTAATAAGCATGCCCGGGTCATGCAGAGAAATTAGATGTGACCACACCAACCAACTTTGCACACTTCCCATCCTGATGACATTTTTCTTTGACGCTCACAAAAGGAATTTGCGCAATTTATGAGTGGCAGGCGGGTGGAAAAAATACCGAAGCAGCATTCGAGAAATTAATAAGGAAGTCGGGCAGTTGGGAAGTGTGAGCAGCGAAGGGACGACAAAGGTGGCCTCTCGAAAGTATTTCCGGTATTTGTGCCATTAAGGCAAACGGCAGCGAAAGGTGACAAAAATGCAGGCAACCTCAGCCCTTACGATTTTTAAGCGTTTTACAGGATGTGCGCTTTTAAGTATGCAATGAATTTACACTCAAGAGCTCTTGGCTTTTTGCAAAAATCAAAAACTCCCATTGCTATGGCTTTTAGATGTGAGTTAAGCAAATGCTGAGTTTTATACTTCATTTTAAATTAAACTTTGAGGTAAGCATAACCACCCAACTGCGTTTGAGTGATAAATTTTAGAATGTTTTATTCAATTTTAAAATCGCTTTTGGAGTTCGGGAAAATAAAAGCCAAAGAAGGTATTATTTTCGGTAGGGTTCACATTCCGTGGATTTGAGTTACTTCTTCAGCAGCAGAGGAGCGGCAGCGGTGGCCACATAGGGACTGGCCACATAGGGCGAGCTGTAGGCCAGGGGAGAGGTGTAGGCGGCGGCGTAGGGGGCGGCAAAGCGGGCCACTGGAGCGGTATAGGCAGCGGCAACGGGAGCGGTATAGGCTGCGGCCACCGGAGCGGTATAGGCAGCGGCAATGGGGGAGGTGTAGGCTGCGGTATAGGCTGCGGGGAAGGCGGCGCTGTGGGCCACCGTGTTGGCCGTGTAGCTGGAGGCGTAGGGAGCCACGTAGGCGGCACTGCCCACCACAGCCGGAGCGGTATAAGCCAGAGGAGCGGCGGCCAGAGGAGCCACAATTCCGGGCTTGGCAGCAGCCACAGCCACAACAGCGAAGAAGCAGACGGCGAACTACGGTTTTAAATTGAAATTATTTAAATTATTTGCCTTCCTAAAATAATTAAAGTCCTCGAAGCACTTACGAATTTCATGTTGATTGTTTGATTGGTTTTTTGTTTGCTAGTAGTGACTACTTGGAGCTGTGAGCTTGATTTGATGTTGAGTTGAGCGGGCTGGCCAGTTTATATAGGGCCCCTGCCAGTGCCCACTTGAATATAACACTAACCATACAACATATGCATGGTTAGTGGGCATACGACGAAGGCCGCGTTTACACATGCAGCTGACGTCGCTGACACCGCAGCTCAAAGTCTTTGACTCAGTTCCAACTTACTGGGCCAATTTAAGCCATTGTTGTTGCACACGCACACTTGGCACGTGCGGGCTAAATTCGTAAAGGGCATTGCCGGGTTCCTTAGGCTTAAATGGCCTCCCGTGAAATGGCATTTTAATTTTGCCCTCTAATAGGTTTTTTAAGCAAAGGAACAAACTATTTTATAAATTGGTATATTAATGATATATATTTGTATTTGGTTTTCTACTATATGATTATTTCAACTATAAAATCACTTCCTTTGTTTAAAAAACTAATTAACTTAAAAAACGTTGAAAAATCCGAAATTCATACATTAAAAGATTAAGTGTAAAGGGTTCCACCTTTATTATTAAATTATTAAACGTTCTTATAGTATATTGAATTTTTACACTGAATTTTTACAAAAAAAAATTAATCCGTAAATATGAAGCATCTATGTTACTTCAATTCAGTATTCACATTTTCGGTCAACTACTCTCGACCCGAACTTCACAAAAATAAAAGCAAAAAAATTCAAAAAATTTAAATTAAAATTTTAAAAACTTAAAAAAAGGGTTCCAGGGATGAGTTCGATATCCGAGTGCGCTTTGGACCGGCACTTTACCGCCCAGTTGCGCAAATTGCGCTTGTACTCGCAGGAGCATCCAATCAGCGAGGAGGAATGCGAGCTCCGACAGTGCTGGATGGATCACCTGCAGCAGGCAAAGGGCGAGGACAAGTACGCCCGGAACTGCATGACGCTGATGATGTACGACCAGTTTCAGCAGACTGGCCACCTGAGGAAGCCGTTCACCGAAATAGAGAATATTCAGCGCTCCATGGACGATTTGCTGAACGAGTACGATGGGGAGTTGGGAATTGAGGAGCAACCGGCGGCGACGGCGACAGTGGAAGACGCCCAGGAAGCGGAAACTAATGCCTCGAGCTATGGTGGCGGGAGTAGTCGGTGCTCCAAGGAAGTGTCCGTGGCGAACACCCTTCCCGAATTCGAGAGCGTGAAGCAGTCGAACCAGGCCCTCCTCAAGGAGATCGACTCGCTGCACAACCGCACTCTGGAAACCGAGCAGCACTACAAGACCAAAAGCCAATTGCTGGAGCAGAAGATGGCCGAGAAATCTAGGATAGACCAGCAGGAGAGTATCTATCGGGCCTGCCGTGCAGCCATTGATCTGTTAAAAAGTTGGCCGGGAGACCAAGCGCCACTCAACTTCCTGGCCACCTGCTTGGAGCCCCTTCTCCGGAGCGACCTGATTTCCAGCACACATATCTCGGAGTTGGACCGCAGCCTGGAGGACGTCTTGGACAGAATGGTGAAACAGATCTGCACGCGAAGGGACGAGAACGTACGCATCCTGTATGACCACATTCTGCATAATCAGCAGGACATGCTCAATGAAAGGGAGGGAAAGGTTCGCCGGGTACAGGAATCCTTGAAGCTGGAGCGCCAAAGGTTGCAGCTGCTGTCCGAGGATCTGAAACGCCGAGAAGATCTTATCTGGAGGCACCAGTCCATTGTCACAATTCCCAGAAAGCCCTTTGAAGAGCCGGCCAGTCCGAGGATAAAAGAGTGCGAATTCTGTCACAGGGAAAAGTTCTTAAAAAGAGGTCCAATAGATCCTATATGCAGAATTTGCCAATTTGGAATATCAAAGAGCGCTGAAGAGCTGGAAAAGTTATCCGATCTGTCCATCGACAAGTGGTAATCCTCCTACACATTCCTATATATATTTTCTATTTTCTTGTTCGAATCAATAAATCGTTAAGTTGCTTTGAAAAGTTCTGCCACCTCTCACACTTTTCAGTGCCTGCGTCCCTGTCAACTGCAAAACTTTTAATGTAGTTTTAATTTTCTCGTAATCACGGAGGGAATTGGCTGTAGTCCTGGAAAGTCGGCAATCATCGGCGCACTTACGCTGCGAAAAAATTATTTTGAAAATATTTTTAGACCAAGAATTTATGTACCACCGTTTAGCAATTTTTTAAGGAGAACCATTTTAACAAATTTTTTAATATACTTAGAAATAACAAACCATCAAATATACGGTTCATAAATAAAAAAAATTCATCCTTTTAAAAAACATTGTGAACGCAAAAAAAGGTCTCTTGATATAATGTTTCGCTCAATCAATATAACATTTGGTAAGTGGTTGGAAATAAGAAAACCAAGAATTTGTCTTATCTTAAGTTAAGAAAGCTCTTTCATTCAAATTATGGCTAATGATAAAAATGATTCATACATAGTTTTTCTCCCTGTGTATTGGCTATTTCTTCAGCCTGCAATGAGAAAAGAAAACGCAGTCGGAAACAACAAAGTAGGAAGAGCAGCAACAGCTTTGTTCGTAATTAGTTTTTAAGCGCTTCGAAAGAGCTTGTGAAAGGGGGCTAAATCCTAAATGGGCGCAAATGGTGTGTGTGTGTGGGTGTGCCATTGGTTATGACAACATGCAGTTAAGCACTTCTTAACGATGGCTGACTGCCGATAATGGCTTTGGAACAAATAAGTGCAATTGATTTTCTTGGCAGCGAACATAAATTTCAAGCAAATAAATTATTTTAAATGGCTTAGCTTTATAAGTGTCTAAGATGGTTTGCATTACTTAGAGAAAAAAATCAAGAATTTAAGCTACTACAAAGATCTTTAAACTGAAAAGCTATATATACTTAATCCTTCAAAATATCCAAATTTTCTCTAAAAAAAATCCAAAACTACGGCATTATTTGATTTACTTATCTTTTATTTAATTGTCACCCATGAAAAAGTACTAAAAAGAAACACCAAGCAAACTCATGCAAATTTTGCCGCTTTTAAAAGCATATATTTTTCTCAAATTTGATAAAGCCAACATTGCTTGCCATATGACCGCCTAAGTACATATATAATAGTTTTTCTTTGCCTCAGCCCCAAAACCATTCATTTCCCCAAAAAACCAGCACAAAGTTCCGAGCAGTTGCGAAAAAGTTGTCAAAGAAAATGCAGTGTGCCTGCAATCCCCAAACTTTCTGCTAGTCCATCCTTCTCCACTGCCGCCTGACAATAGCTCAAAATATGTAGCGCCAACTGGCGAAGCAGGGGGAGATGGGGGAACAAAAGTAAGTGTGCGAAAAAAGTTTCCGCTCGACTTTAATGATGCGTAGAGACAGCCAAAGTTTGGGTGGCCAATGCGGAGGAAAATTTGAGAAAGTGACGGAAGCCGAGCGTTTACATTAGTGGCATAAAGTTAATGACACATTTCGTCGGCTTATGGGGCTGCACTGTTCCGTCCCGTACAATTTCCGGCCAGCCATGTCGAACTTGGCAAACAATTAAGGACAGAAGTGAGCGAACATTTGCGTAAAACTAAAACAAGAAGGGAACACAACATCTGTGACCGCCGGCAAAAGTTGCATTTTTGCGGCACTCAAGCGACTCCGGCAGAACCATTACGGCGGAATGTGAATTGCCCGCTGGAGGTGGCCGAGTGCAATGCGGCTGCCGGTGGTGTTTATCACATGCAGCAAGCATCTCCGACGACGCTTAATGGCTTTCTGCCCGGACAGTATGCATCTGGGCGGGGCATAACACTTCGGGGACTCCCGTTCCGGACTCGCAATACGACCCATTTGCGTTCCAGCTCCATTTCTTAATAAGTTACATCTGAGTTGATTGTGTTCATTTTCTTGTATATGTGTATTTACACTTGGTTAGTCTCCCGGGGCAACTCTTTGCCGTCGCAATGATGTCGCTTAGCAAAGGTTTCGCCCACAATTAATGGAAACACCAAACTAGCCTCGGCGTAGACTTTTACGGGGGTGGCATCTTTCTTGATCTTGCCCCATGATATGGCCTCATCCGGCCGGGCTCCACTGTCGCTGCCGTCAAACTCCGAGGCGGTATTGATAAACACCGAGTAATCGGCACCATTCCGCATTAAATTCGCATTGCAAATGTGATGCTTTATAACGCCGCCGCCCACGATGATCATCCCGCTGTTGACGGCCTTCACGGCCATGGTGTTAAGCCTCCTCAGATCGGACAGGATATCGACGACGAGTCCAGGCCGGCGAAAGGAGTGGAAGTACATCATGTCACCTAAACTTCCATCAGTTAGGGCGGGGCAGAAGACGGGTATTTGATTCTTGGCCGCCCAGTAGTAAATGGAACTGGGATCGCCAATCCGCTCGCCTAATCGATGGATAATCTTTGAAGGCGACCAGACCGTACCCTGGGATTTCTGTTCCTCCAACATCTCGTCCAGCAGCGGCATCACCCAGTCCTCGAACTTGCAGTAGTTGTCGTTGGGCACCAGGAGGTTGCCTATCCGGTTTATTCCCCGCTCGCGCAGCTCCCTGCCGCTCAGCTCAAAGGAACCCATGAACGTGGGCGCCAGGCACTTGATGAAATCCTCCTCTACGCCGCCGGCTGTGGTCACAATGCAGTCGATCATGCGGTGCTCGGCCAGAAAGCGAATGTTCTCCCGCAAGCCCGATGAAACCAAGTTGGATGTGTAGCCCAGGAACACGGTGCACTTGCTCCTCCGCCGGATGAAGTCATCGGTTTCATACTTGTCCAGTTGATCCGGCTCCAGTGGCTGGTCTCTGCAATCCAGCTGCCAGTGTTAGAAGCTTGTAACACATTGCAATTAAATAAAGATCCACTAACTTACCATTTTGTTGATTTCCCGAATTGCAAGGCCCAGATTCGTGGCCTGGAACCCGCTGTTTACATAGGACTCGAAGAGTTTGCTGTAGTTTACGCCCTCGTTGAAGTCGTAGCCCCGAACTTGGGGTGTTGCTTTCGGCAGGGCCTCGCTGCGCTTCAGGACTGCATCCTTGGCCACCGCTGGCTCCGTCGACATGGTGGAAATCCTTAATATTCAAAATAAACGAAGCAAAGGAAGTTTAGTCCGCCAAGTCAACATGTGCTGGTGATGACATCCCTGGTTTCTATTAGGGATGGCATTTACGGCTAACGAAATCAACTGAAGTTGGCTGGAAAGTAGCCAAATATGTATTAAAAGATATTAGCCCTGTTTCAGTGTTTAACTAATCGGATTTCTTTTAGACTTTAATTAAAAAACGGGTCGTATGTAAAGAAGAAATTAACCTTTTAGAAATAATAAAATTCCCACTTTTCGAGTAAGGGCAATAAAATACATGGACGACGAGCAAATTAATGGTACATAAATAATTTTATTTTTTTGTTAATAGTATTATTAATAAATCATAAAATTTTTACCTTGAAAATCAAGGGCTTGGAAACCCCTCCGTCACTCACCAACACTGCCAAGCTATCGACCCAAGGCCAGCGCTGTCATCGCCCGCAACCATCGATTACTCACACTAATCGCTTGGCAGCTGCCATCGCCATCAAGAAACAAGGAGAAACGACCCTAAAGTAAAGAAAGCACTCGAAGCGAATTTCACATCAGAATTAGTGTTTACGGTATGCCAAATAGATTGAGTCAAACAATTGCTTCCTAATCACTGAAATTCAAAACCATGCCCCCCGTCCGTTAAGCAGTAAAAACCCCGAGGAGAACGATTAATCCGCGCACAGCCAAACGCAGAAGAAGAAACGCCAGCGAGACGAGGACGCCAAGATGATTAAACTCTTCACGCTGAAGCAGCAGAAGAAAGACGGCGAACAAAAGGGGAGCGGCGGCCAGCAGAAGAAAGCCTCCGCCGCCCAGCTGCGCATCCAGAAAGGTGCTATCCGGGATATGTGCCTCTTAGCCAGTACCTAACCAACTACGATTCGATTCTCACCCCCAGATATTAGCGAACTGAACCTGCCAAACACTTGCGCCACAGACTTCCCCGATCCCGATGACTTGCTCAACTTCAAGCTAATCATCTCGCCCGACGAGGGCTTCTACAGGGACGGGCGCTTCGTGTTCAACTTCCGCGTCGGATCCAACTATCCGCATGAGCCGCCCAAGGTGAAGTGCGCCACCCAGGTGTATCACCCCAACATTGATCTGGAGGGCAACGTCTGCCTCAACATTCTGCGCGAGGACTGGAATCCAGTGCTGAACATCAATTCCATCATTTATGGCTTGCAGTTTCTGTTTTTGGTTTGTATTTGCCATCGGGAGGGTTTACTGCTCAATTTTATTCAATCAGGACAGTCAAGCGACCCCACAAAAATCTATTCCTATTTCCGAACGCCAACCAGTCTCTGTTTTAAAGTTATTTGATCTAAACATTCTATGACAGATAGTTTTTGATTTTTTAACTAAACACTAGTTGAATATATGGGTATTTAAACACACCAAATTAAATTATTGTGTGTAAAATGATATAGTAGTCAATTAATAGGGATCAAATTATACATTTTTAAATCATCTTATATTGTTAAAAAAAAATTTAGACTAAAGCCAAATTATGGTGTTGCAGGAACCAAATCCCGAGGATCCGCTCAACAAGGAGGCGGCCGACGTCCTGCAGACCAACCGCCGTCAGTTCGAGTACAATGTGAAGAAGGCGATGCGCGGCGGCTATGTGGGCGAGACCTACTTCGAGTGCTGTCTGCACAAGTGATATAGGGAATCCGAAGGTCTCTTACTTTAAGCCTGCCCAAACACCCCTCCCTAACCTACCCCCGCTAACTGGAGAAGATGATGCAAACACAGACGAACAACGGCGACAACAAATTATTGTAATAAACGAAAGCAAAATCCACTGCGTGCGAAGAAGAAGCCGAGTCGAGTCACCAATTTCTAGTTTTTAATACAATTCATTTAGCAACTTCGCCCGCCCGTCTCTTAATCTTATTCGAGCCCAAAGAGGCACTCCTGAATTCTCTCACAGGTGGATGCTGTGCCTAGCCAACTGCATGTTCCGCCACAGACACAAATCGGCCACCGCCGACTGCCTTCCCGTCTGGACTCTCAAGTCATATAGTCTGCTGATCAGGCCCACTCGTATGTCATCGGTGACCAGGACCTTGAGCAGCTGCTGCACCAGGCTGGCGGGCAGTAGACGCAGCACGGGAGCCACCCGCTCACCGCCGCATTCCACCAGCAGCGAGATAAACTGATACACAAATACGGCCTTGGGCGAAAGCTCGTCGCCACTGACGAACTGCAAGAATACTCCAAAAATATGCTGCACGCTTCTCTGCAGCGGTTCTCTTAATGTAATCGGCGTGGTTCGCAGCTCGCCGGTGGATGTGGATCCCAGTATAGCTCCCAACCCAGCTCCGGCTGCGGTATCCGTAAAATCGCTCGAATTGTCGCTGCCATCGCCAATCACCTTGCGCACTTTGGCTGCATTGGCCGCCAATTCCTCCTCATCGTGTGATCGCGATCGCTTCTTCATGGCTGTCAAAGCGGAGGAGATATTCCCGCTGCGGGTTTCCAGGCAGGAGATAATACTGTAGACACACAGGCGTGCTAGAACCAGGGATTGCGGTTCATTAATGTCCTCACTAGAATATAAAGAGAGCAAGTTATAAGAAAGAGTTCTATAATAGTTTCAGTTTTCACATCTTTAAAGTACCATTAGTTTGATTTGATTCTTTGGATATAAATAAACATTGTAAGATACAAATAAAACCATTCTAAAAGTAATGCCATAAGGAGGACTTGCAAGCATTTAAAGTTTTAAGATTAGAGATACCTCTAAATGCTAGAGTGAAAAAATAAAACTTAGTACTTACCCCTGTCTTCGGAGCATTAGTGGAGCCACCACGTACATCAGCAAGGCTTCCGTGGTCTTTTCGATGTCCAGGTGCATTGCGGCAAACACCACATCCATTGTTCGCGACATGTCCCTTGTGTACTTGCAGGCCAGCAGTTGCTCCACCAGCTGCGTGGCCAGCCACGCTGCTCCGCCGGCCAGCAGCAACGACTCCAGTGTCTGAGCGGCGCGAACGGGCAGGTGGCCAGCGTCGACTACAGTTCGCCACACCTCCCGGAACTGCTCGACCAGAGGGGAGTGTGAAATCAGGCGGGATTTAGTGTTGGGAGCGGGATGCACATCGTGTTGCATTTTTCTGATGATCTGATAGGACAGAGCAAGCCGCTCCTTGGCGTTTTCCTGGCTGGACAATTCCTCGCTGGTCAATGGGGCCAGGAACTGCTGGATCATGTTCAGCGGCTTTAGAAGCTCTGTTTCCTTTACCGAATACATGTAGGCACAGAGGAAACTGGTGGCGCAAACGGAGAAGCTGAAAAGCCGCCGCTTTATATTGTCCAGAATACTTTTTACATCCGCCGAAGAGAGGGTCTCCTGCTCCCAAGCTATGAGCACGTGATGGAGCACTCCGGGCAGATTTAGGCAGGTCTCCTGCCAACTAAGGTTGCTTGGCTTCAGTTGGGTTGCCTCAGGTTTGCTTAAGCTGAGCAAAAGCTCATCCACGATGCTGTCATCGCAGAGGGCAAGAATTTGGCGCGGATTCTTCAGCTTGTTTCGCTCCACCATGCACTCCCGCACCCATTTCTCGAAGAAGGAGTCACCACGCTCGGGTAAGACCACCTGGAATATGCAAAAGGCCATTAATATTTGCAGTGATACTATTTAGATTAAATTGATGTACATCAGATCCATAGGTCTGCACAATGCTGGTCAGCATCAGGAAGGAGACATCGAACAGTGTGGATCGGATGACGCACAGCTTGCCCAGCTCGCCTGGAACTGGCTTGGAGTTCTCATTGCACTGAATCAGGCGCGACACGAAAGTCTTGAGACGTCCTTCGACAGTAGCCACCGAAAGGATCAACTCAAAGCTGTTGCCCACCGGCACCTGGCAGAGTACATTCACCATGTCCTGCACCTTGTTGGTGCACAGCGTTTTTAGCACTCCGGAGAGCGGAACTTCGGCCCGCTTGATGAAGTTGATATTGGAAGGAGTCTGCTGGCCGTTGTCACATTTTTTAAGCAGCTGAGAGGCGGCTTCCCTAGAGGAGTATTAAAAATTAGATCTTTAAGAATGGTATTCAAAGAACAATTGCCTTTAGACTTACCTCTGACTGGCGAACTTCTTCACATGGACATCGCTTACCAACTGCTGCTTGGTCCAGTCGTTCAGCAGGAACTCGATCATATTGCAGGAGCACTTGGTGTCCATGAAGTCTAGCAACAGGTTATCCTCGATAAGCAGCTCCAAGGCCTCAACCAACTCGGGTATGTAATCAGCGGGAGGTGGTTGCTCACCGGGAATCCGCTGCAGGGCATGTAACTGCTTGATGATGTGCGGCATCTTGAAGAACATAAAAGCACCCCACATTGTATCCGGACTGGTATCCGCCACGTTGCTCAGCGTAAGGAATCCAGCGCGGATAATCTCGTAGAAGAGGCGTGTGTTGGAGTACCTTTTCAAACGCTGCAACATCTGCAACTCAGCCACGTAGTAGCTGGTGTCCTTGCAGGGATTCAGCAGCACTTCAACCGCCAACAACGGCTGCACACAGCATGAGATCTTCTCCAGAGTTGGTGGCGGATTCAGTGACTGCATATCCAGGTGCTTGGCTTCGATGTAGGCCAACTGCTGCAATTGCTGCTCCACGTTTGGTGCATTCAGCGTGAAATTGGAGTTCGTCAGCGATCCCTTGATGCTGGCGTACTTATCCCGAATCCGTCCACAAATCTCCAGCTCTTCGTGGCAACCCACGTACAGCATGGAGAGCAAAAACTGCTGCTGGCTGAGGCGTTCGATCACCACGCACGTCTGATCCAGCATGTATGATTGCTCTGCGCTTATCTCCCCGTACAGCTCGTAGTGCTGCACGGTTCTGGCAAATATCTGAAACAGCCAGTAGACAAGTTGGACCATGGAGCTGGGCAGCACAGACTCCTCGGATTTGATGCTGCAAAAAGGGCACTTGGGGTTAGGAAAGCAAAGGTTTTAAGGGTTAGAGATGCTCACCGGCAGGTCACACCATCCACAATGCTGGCCAGGAATTCCAGAAGCGCTGTGATGCAGTAGACCCGCTCCAATTTGTCATATTTGGCAATGCAGCGCAGGACAGCGGCATGCGAGACGAGGTGTGCGCACAGCGAGTGCTTCAGGTAGTTAAGAACCAACTATAAATATATGTATATTTATATAAATAAATAAAATTCTTGAGTCAATTACTTTACTCACCGGATTTGCTGTCGAGCCAATGAGTGCCTGCTGCATCAGACAATCCGCCAGATTGTATACATCTCCACTGACTCCCCTTGGCAGCACCTGATAAAGTAATCAAAAGGAAAAGCAATTGGTTAGACTATCGCATTGACAATGACACACTTTCTTTTCCTGTCAAACTCCACACGGAATCGGGATAACATTCCCATTAAATACAATACAAAACAAATAGAACATCGAGTTAGGATTTTCACTTGTATATTATCATACTAAGTTGCGTTCTTCGTTGCGCGATAAGTGATGTTTCGTTTAAAAATCTTTCGCAATTCAGGGGACGCACTGAGCACTTTAATCAGCGGAGTTGCGAATGGAGGCTTTGGGAAGGCAGCTGGACCTTGCCTGAAGTTGGATCGTGCTCCAGCTGCCGCCGCCTGCTGGGTATGGTTGCGGTTGGTCAGTCAATATCAATTCAGGACCACGAAACAGGCCTACTATCCAGATCGCCAGCAGGAGGCGAAGCGACCGACAGCGGGATCCACGCCCCAACAGGTGTCGTCTCCGGCCGTGAAGAGCACGCAGGGCCGCGGCATGCCCAAGGACTACTACTACAAGGTTCTGGGCGTCAATAGGCACGCCTCCATTCAGCAGATCCGATCGGCCTTCTATGCGCTGGCCAAGCGCTATCATCCCGACTCCACGCACTCGGAGCAAAAGCTGAAGCACTTCCAGGAGCTGTCCAACGCCTACAACATCCTCACCGACGAGACAAAGCGTTTGGAGTACGACCAGCTGGGCGGGATCAAGGATGAGCGCGCCTTCCTCGAGCAGGCAGGCAATCCCATGAATGTGGACCTCGAGGAGGCCAAGAAGTTGGACTCGGATAAGACGGCAAACGACGGTGAGCAGAGGGTTCCAGCTGCTTTTGGCTAACTAAACTAACTAACCAAATTTATGATCTCCAAATGGTACATTTTAAAAATACTAAATAATAAGACAATGTGTCTTATTAAATATTTAACTAGAGATTGACTAGAAAATTAGAAATTTAATTATTCGCAAAAGTGATTTATCTGTGAATTTTGAAAAATACGCGATTTGTACAGAGAACCCGTTCAAAACTTGCTAATTCCTTTTCAGATATCAACAAGCTAAAGAACAACGAGTTCGATCTGCAATTGGACTTCCTGGAGGCCACTGTGGGCTGCAAAAAGCGAGTGGAGCTGCGCTACCTGCGCAAGTGCGAGACCTGCAAGGGCAAGTCGCAGCTGATGGCGCACCGGGACGTGGGTAAGGAGCCCTGCCGACGTTGCAATGGCACTGGAAAGGTGACGACTAAGACGGCTACCTTTTCCTCGGTAAACACGTGCACGCAGTGCAAGGGTAAGCGGTTCACGAATCGCAACGATTGCGAAACCTGCTCAAATCGAGGATTTGTGGTGTCTAGCGTGGATGTTATGGTACCAGTGCCATCCGGATCGCGGGATGGGGATGTGCTGAGCCTAGTTAATCCGGCAACCAAGCAGCAGGTGACGTACCGCCTGACGGTGCCTGGTAGCGATTATTTCCGGCGCGTGGGCAACGACATCCAGACGGACAAGCAACTGAACATCTCGGAGGCCATCCTGGGTGGCACCTTTCAGGTGCGTGGCCTGTACGAGAGCCTGGAGCTGCGGGTGGAGCCGGGCACTCAGTCGCACACCCAGGTGCTGCTCAAGGGCAAGGGCGTGCGGTCCAAGGAGGGCGTGGGCCACCACATCGTCACGCTAAAAGTGCGCATTCCCCGGAATCTCTCCGTGAAGCAGCGCCAACTGGTTTTGGCCCTGTCCCAGGCAGAGGATCCGGTTTTCGAGCCCAAGGCCAAAAGCAAGGAGGCGGCCGGTTTCAGCCCTTAAAATTCTCTATGTACATGCTTAATTGCGTTTATAAAATAGTGGCAGACACGAATATTGATTGTTGGATTTGTGGATTTTGCTTGATTGGTTGCCTCGCCTTTTTAATGTTGATGCCCCACTGGGAGTCCGACCAGCGCTCGCGCCACGCCACATAGATGAGCTGGAGAATCTTGTTGTTCTCCTTCATCTCGCGCGTCCTGGGAATATCGCAACTTTCTTTATTTTCCGTATTTCTCGCGATTTGTTTGAGATCGACTTTTTTCACTGTTTTCTTTTGAGCACCGCAGTTAGTGATGGGCTAAACCCAATGCCGCTATAGAGATGTAACTTGCTCTAGATATCGATAACTGGTGTTTAAGCCCGTCAAGGAATTAAATTTTCATCACCATGTTGTAATCAAGAAGAAGAAACTCATTCAACAAATTTAAAATTCTTATTCTCTTTAATCAACATAACAATGCCATCCTAGAAGAGTGGAAAACCATAGTTACTAATGATCTAGTTACTAGAATGCTTTTAGTTTAAAATAAAAAAATTCAACTGAGATCAGCTTGAGGTTTTTATCTTCGTAGCCCATTGCCGTTGAAAACATTCCACATTAAACTAGATAATAAAAATAGTATTTAGCAGTATTCACTGATTAGTTAGTGAAAAGACCCACCAACACAGTTTAATTCAAATAATTTATTGAATACAATAAAGTAGCGTATGAGTTTCGTTTGTAAACTGTTTTTTTTTAAACATTATGTTCTAAAATATTTGACTTTGTACAAAATATATCCTATTCATATATGCCGAAAATTGTTCCTCCATTGCACACTCCGATTTTTTCGAATTTTGTTTCACTCTTTCTTTTGCTGAATGTTTGATTTCAAATTGAAGATAAATATATATATGGGTTTAGTTTTTGTGGTGATGTGCTTAATTCAAAATATTTTGATTTGATTAAACAATAGCTAGGCGAGAACTTTACATTTAAATCGAGTTCGGTGGATTGTCAAAGGATGAGGGGTAGGTAAAAAGAAATATGCGGGGAAATAAAACTAATTTGCAAAGACCGTTTATTTTATATAAAAAGCGGGCAACTGAAATATCAAAGCAAATCTATAAATCGTTTTAAATTATTAATTAACAACTAACTTAGAAGTGTATGACAAAAGCATTTCCTATTCCAATGGCAGCGCCAGGAACGAGGCTTAAAACTATAAAAATTGCTTGGGTAGGGAGAGGCGGTAGAAAGGATTTGTTGCTGGTACAAAACGAGGAAGAATCGTCGCTGACAACGTTAAGAGCTAAATTAAGTCTATGACCTATTTATTTACTTAAATACGCTTGACGCCACAGAGCCACCGTCGCTAAATCATTATCATCATCGCCGCCGTCGCCAGTCGCCAAGCATCATCGCAATCACTTTAGCATCATCGTCCTTAGTACTTTGAGGAGTGAGTTTCGTTTACCATCTCTGCGTTTCTTGTTCATGAACATTATCCTTATCTAAGCGGAGGAGGAGGAGGGTCCGGCTGGCTCGTCCCCCTTCACTGCCGACGCATATGAGCCGCCCGGTTTGTCGCCACCGCCACCGACAACAGGAGCCGCCGACTTGCCATCACCACCACTCCCGCCGGCGCCAGCACCGCCTGTACCACCGGGCGGAACGCCGGCTGCTCCGCCGATGCTCACGCCACTGTTCAGGCCTAGAGTTTGAGGTGAATCAACTAGAGAATTTGTTTCGATTGTGGGTTTGGTTGGGATGTGTGTGAGTGTGGAGTGTGTGCGAGAAGCGAACTGTTTAAGCACCTTTGATATCCATGGCGTAGTGGTCCTCCAGCCGCAGGTCGTGCCTCTTTATCAGCTGGCACTCTGCACCCTCGACGGTGGGAATGGAGTACACGTACAGGTACCCATCCTGCGAGGCAATCAGCAGTCTGAAAAAGAAATTAAGAAATTAGTATTTTAACTGTAAACCCAAACCAATTGTAGGCCACATTCCACTTGATAATGTAAATGATATAGCAAGTAATTTAGTTTTTAAGCGATATTTTTTACTGCCCTGAGAGAAAAAACGCAGGCGAATCTAAGCATACTTTAGGGTAAATAAATTTTAAACATTATGTGAAATATATCCCTAATAAATAAATTGGCCAGCTTTCTACGAATTCAATCATAAACAAGAGAAAATACATAGGTAAAATGCAATTTAATACGCTTCCCAGAAAATAGGTAAAGGTACTTTTCAAAAATTCTCCTTCAATGTAACAAAACTTTATTATACAAATTCTTTGAATAAGTATGGAAGTAGGTAGAAACTTTGCCTGAAGACCGAACCTCGATTTAAGACTCACCTTAGCTGCTTCTGTATCGTGGTAATGGCGCACATCCTTCGAACTCCTGCCTCCGGCAAAGATACCGAGGCGAAGGCCCGGCCCTGGCTAAACACGTCGGTCACCTGCGTGGGCAGGTAGCTGGTGACCGTTTTGCTCAAGAATCTAAAAAACGAGTAACTTGCATGAGAGAGTAGATTTGGTGAGTGGTTGAGTTGTGGTTGTTGTTGTTGAGGTGGTTGGTTGGTTCGTGTTTGGTGGTTTCGCAAAATGAAAGAAAAGAAAAATAGATAAATGTCAAGTGCCACACAAGAAATAGAAGAAAATCAAAAAATCATAATAGTCCTATTCAAATGTACTCAATCTTAGTCCCGTTTTAGAATCGCTTTTTACAAACTGTGGCTTTTCCAAGAAATTCAGATTATTATCTACTATTGCTGTTTTATGTTGATTTCTTCAAAAGAGTTAAAGTATTTAAAGTTAACCAGACTCTGATTTTGGAAACAATTTTAAATAAAGTAAAAAAGAAACATATTTTTTATGAATGTGCTTATGGTTTTTCTATAAAATGATTTCAATTTGAAACTTTGTGTTATATGTAAATACATATGTTTCTTAAAATGAAGATTAGAAATATGTTTCCAATATTGTGATGTTTTGTTAAATCATATATTAGGAATTTTGAGAACACATACAAATGATTGATACAAAAATGCAACAGAAGCCATGGACAAATAGAGGTTTTGGGTTTGGAATAAAATGGAGTTGTTTGGGAGGATACAGCTTTTATGTACAGAACACCCACACCTTAGGAATTGACCTTTAGCCGTTACCGCACACTAGAGTGATACAACTATCTACAAAGCTACAAAACAGAAGTTAAGTTATCAGAATCCAACACCGCTTACCCCATCCAGTCGTCACTCGACTGCTTTCCACCATGACCCTCGGCCGTCTCTGTGGCACTGCGATCAAGCCGGAAGATGTGCACCGTCTCCGTGTTGGAGCTGGAAACCAGATACTCGGCGCACGTGCTGAACGACAGCGAAACGATGGACACACAGCGCTTGAGTCCCCGTCGCAGTTCAAAAAGCCGACTACCATCCTGGGAACTGAAGACCCGGATCACCGTGCCACGCTCGCTGGCCGTAGCGATCTCCGTGCCCGAGGGACTGAAGGCCAAAGCCGCCAGCGGTGTGTCGTGGGCGGGAATCATGGTCTTGGCGTGCAAGTTAATGGCATCGAAGATCTGCACTTCGCCGGCGGTCACGCTGCCCGGATAGGCCAGATAGCAGTGCTCTGAGGACGAGGAGAGGGCGCACAAGCCCTGTGGATTGCAAGGCGTGTCGCGGATGGTGTGCACCACCTTCATGTCCTGGATGTTGTGGATGTACAGCGACTCCTCCAGGCAGACAATCAGACGCTCGCGATTGAGCTTCACTGCCAGAATTGTGTTCGCATAGGAGTAGTTGCAGATCTCGCTCTGTTTCTTGAAGTGGCACACCTTAAGCTTACGAGGAGCTCGCTGGGAAACTATGGCCACCAGAGAGCTCTCGAACAGGCGTTCGATGAGGAACAACTCGTCGCTCTTCGTGTGGTAGATCTTGTCCAGCGTCGAGTCCACGGAACCAAGGCTGTACAGGCTGTAGCCGCCACTAGTGGCCACGGCCAGCGAACTGCAAGGGCGTTAAATGTGAATATGTTTGGGAGTAGAAAGTAAAACTAATGTAGGAGTCATTCCACAAGAAGAAACTATGACTCATAGGTTTGCAAACAAAAACGTATGGGCTTAACGCAAGTTTAAACCTTTTTGTGTTGATCCTTATCAAATAAAAAATCAATTTAATTTTCACGAAGCTGCATAGATCCTGCACCATTGTCTTTTATGGATATTGAGAACATCGAAACAGGCATAAGTGAAAATAAATGATAATCTGTGTTGCTCCAGTTTTTAATTTAAAATCGAAACGGAACAAAAGATTATTTATAGAATGTTGATAAGGCTTCCTAAAGGGACTTAACGGTGTGCTTTACTTATCTGTTATCTTTTAATTGAAAGGCAAGGAGCAACAAGCCAAAAAGTCTTTAATGTTTTAAACAAAATGATATTGACTATATCAATGGTGGCTGTTTCTTATTTCGAAAACAATATTACTGCGCTGATACTTTTTTTTTTAATTGTACATTTTTAAAAACTACTGAAGTGCTATTAACTTTTATGTACAAACAATAAATCCCTTCTGTAGAAATTTTTGTTTGTTAGAAATAAAGTATTAAACAAATAATTTTTAAATATTATTTTACACAGAAAGAACTTTATCTTGGGGGTTTGGGCAACACCCTCCTAAACACACCCTAAATCCTCCCTCTTGCAACAAATTTCCTTATCGACACCCCTATCGAATGACCACTGTATTTGGGTGCTTACGTTATGTTCTGGTTGAAATTGACGAACACTTCGCCCGCATCCACGTCCGGGCGCCCGAGCAGGCTCATCATGGTGCTTGTGTGGGAGGGGCTGAGATCCTGCAACAGATTGGGCAGAAATTGTCAGATATTTTAAATATTTGGGGATAGTTTCCGATGGCGCATTACGGAATGGCGAATGGCGCAAACAAAGCGTGGGCCAAAGTAATAAATATATATGCTCATATGTTAATAAATACAATAACAAACTCTGCACGCGCGTGTGTGTGAATGTGTGTACACTTTTTGGGGCTGCTGATAAAACCAACAACAACAAACAAAACACACTCTTACACTTGCGAAATATACGTGACTGGGAATCGTTTATTTTTACCTCTCTGTATTGCTAAAGTCTCTGTTCTAGCCTTTTCGATATTCGCAGGACACCGCTGTCGACTTGTTGTTAGCTGAAAGACGTTTACTTAACTGAAGCTATGTAATATTAAACGATATTTGGATTTCTTGTCGCGCAATTGTTTTTGCTCTGTTTTGCACACAAACACACCAGCACCCACACATAGACAAGGTGGACAGCAACAGAGCGAGGCAGGGATGCCGAACCGAACGGAGCGCAGAGCTGCATTCGACAGTGTTGAAAAGCGATGGGAATTTGTTTTTTACACTTGAACAAAACTATATTTAGTTTTTTGGTTTGATGTACTGATTCAATCACACATAAACTATATCATGTTATTAAAAATCCATGTTGAAATATTTTAGATTTTTTTTTATTTTACATTTAAAAAAAAATTAAAATGTTTACCTATTAAAACACAAAAAAAAAACATATTGCTTATGCAAAACGGGCATAGTTGTCTCCACGATTTAATAAGTAAGGGGTCATTTTAACTTAAATTCTGGCGTTCTTAGATTTTTTTTTGTTTAACGCCATCACAAGAGTAACTAGTGTGTTTTTTCTTTAGGCAACAAATTGCGTTATTGTTTAAACAGATGTTATTGGGAAATTTGGCTACGATAGATGCAAACACATTTCATAAATGTCGTTCTGTTTTCTTTTGGGCTGTATATGGTTTATAATTTTAAAAATCAGTCATTTAATTTAGTAAATATAAATTGTGTAAAAATTACAAAGTGGTTATATTATAAAAAAAATGGAATAATAGATGTTTTGTAACTATATAGCATACTCTTGCTTAGTTATATCTATTAATTATGTGAATTCAAACGTTTGAATTGTATGTTTTATTTAAAAGTTCAAAACTGATTTCACGGAAAGGAACCACTGTTTCATGACTGTGAGCTAGCAACGACTGCATCCCTGGCTAAGTATTCGAGTAATTTCCAGCACTGGCCAGGTCTGGTTCTCAAAAGAAATAAAATTACATTTCAATCTTTCCAATATGCAAATATATGTGCAAAATCCAGCGAAAACAGGATGCGGACAGTAAAAAGCGTTAAAAAAACGTGACGTGTGCCTGCGCAAAAAGACATTTTGTGCCTTGACTTAGTGCTTAATCCCAATCCAGACGCACAAAATCGATGCAGATGCTGTCTGCATCGCTCGCACACTCTTATGGAAAGTGCATTTAATCGGTCGCCAAAAGCCACGATGCATAGTAAATAAACGCTAAGAAAACATCTATAAAGTAAACACAAAAGTCTTGAGTTTCGAAAGATGCAGAGAAACGAAAACAATAACAGTAACAATAACAAGGTGCTTGAATCGGACCAAAATAAATATATACATACAGACGGTGAAGCAGGCCGATATGTATTGACGTCGCCGCGCTGAAGTAGAGCTGATTACACAAAAGATCCTCTAAACTATTTTATGTAAGTATGTAAACAGATAGGGACAGGCCCACCTTGGGCTTTAATCGCCTGGCATCGGCTTTCTAGCGGCTGATAAGGAAAGAGTGCCTATGCTTATCTTTCATCTGCAACCTGGCTGATGGCGTTCGCTGTCTGTCTACCTACTACACCACTACTGCCCCCCATTGTCTTTGCCAGCGCGCGTTTTATACCCTTTCTTAGAGTCTTTGTTATTCTGATGGGACTTTGCTACCCACTAACACTTTCCTTGAATTCCCCCATCGAAGCGTTCCATTGACTTCATCTTTCGGAAAGTAAAATTATGACTTTTGAACTTACAATTTCAAATAGAATTGTATGAACGTGATAATTTATCAATTATAACAAGAACAATCACAAGCCAACAATTAATGTATACTTAACTAAAAGAGTATGTCTCACACTAAATATGTTCCTCAAAAATAAATACATAAATACATATTAAAGTTATTAAAGAAACAATTTAAAAACATTGTGACATAAATATGAGATTAAACGTTTAATAAAGCATGCCCACAATTTTATTTTCGTGATTTTATTACCATAAACATTTCCGAACAAATTTAAGGGTATTTGATTTTCGATGTTCCTATTGTTCGGTTTTAAAATTATTTCGCCTAATCAATGTCAGCACTGTGCGTCGTGATTTGTAGTACCGTTAGCTGAAAGGTACTCCACGCACAGTACCATTATCGCACTCCCAGTACGCTGTTCGGTTTTTTAAGTTCAGTTCTGTTCCGTACTTTTCCACGACCACCGATGAAGTTATACGCCTTAGAAGGGTACGACTACGAGTTTTGGATGAATATACTCTGGATTAGGGATCGCAACCCATTGCACTAAGCTGTCTATCGTTTGTTTTTGTTTTGGCTCGGCTTAATTACAATTACATTTTGCATTCATTAAGCATTCTGTGACCAAGTTTTGTGCGACTAGACCTCACAGTGGAACAAAGTCGAAAAATTAATTGATAAGTGGTGATAAAAGCTGATAGTTATCATTTTTGGGGGCATCTTTTACCACTGTGCAGTGTGTATTATTTGACATTAAGCAAAACCGATCCCTATCGTGATGATTTAGCTAAATTTAACGTGCTTTCCACATTTCAAACCCTTTAGTTTTAATTTTGCGGCGGATTTTTAGCGTAATAAAGTGCAAAGAGCGCGCAATTAATTTGGTATTTACATATATGTTCTATATTCTAGTGATTTAAGATATTAAACATGATTCTACCCTTTTTAAACCTTAAGTCTTAAAAAATTTTAATTATATATGCGTATATGTACAAATCATAGTTTGACTGGTATTCCCTCACTTTGTCTTCCACAGCCAAGGCTCGAATATGTCCGACGGCGTCAGTATTTTGCACATAAAGCAGGAAGTGGACACTTCATCAGCGGGCGGCAGTGCCTCCTGCTTCAGTCCCAGCTCCAAGTCGACGGTCACACAGGGTGGCACCAACGGCATGAAGTCCTCACCCTCGGTCTCACCCGAGAGACAGCTCTGCAGCTCGACGACCTCCCTATCCTGCGATCTGCACAACGTGTCCCTCAGCAACGACGGTGATAGTCTTAAAGGCGGCGGAGCCGGCAGCGGCACCAGTCGGGGGAGGAGGAGGTGGCGGTACCAGTGGAGGAAATGCCAGCAATGCGAGTGCCGGAACAGGATCCGGATCCGTGAGGGATGAGCTCCGCCGGTTGTGTCTGGTTTGCGGGGATGTGGCCAGTGGATTTCACTATGGCGTTGCCAGCTGCGAGGCCTGCAAAGCATTCTTCAAACGCACCATCCAGGGCAACATCGAGTACACCTGCCCGGCAAACAACGAGTGCGAGATTAACAAGCGGAGACGCAAGGCCTGTCAGGCGTGTCGCTTCCAAAAGTGCCTGCTAATGGGCATGCTTAAGGTAACATGTGAATCTAAAACATCAATTATTAAATACTAATTGTTCCTTGCCTTTCAGGAGGGCGTGCGTTTGGATCGAGTGCGTGGAGGGCGGCAGAAGTACCGTCGCAATCCGGTCTCCAACTCATACCAAACCATGCAGCTACTTTACCAATCCAACACCACATCGCTGTGCGATGTGAAAATTCTGGAGGTGCTCAACTCTTACGAACCAGATGCTTTGAGCGTACAAACGCCGCCACCGCAAGTACACACAACTACAATTGCGAATGATGAGGCCTCCTCCTCCTCGGGCAGCATTAAGCTAGAGTCCAGCGTCGGAGTCACGCCCAATGGCACTTGCATTTTCCAGAACAACAATAACAATGACCCGAATGAGATATTGAGCGTGTTAAGCGATATTTACGATAAGGAGCTGGTCAGCGTGATTGGCTGGGCCAAACAAATACCCGGCTTTATAGAGCTTCCCCTTAACGACCAGATGAAGCTGCTCCAGGTGTCTTGGGCGGAGATCCTAACCCTCCAGCTGACCTTCCGCTCCCTACCGTTCAATGGCAAACTGTGCTTCGCCACCGATGTCTGGATGGATGAGCTCTTGGCCAAGGAGTGCGGTTACACGGAGTTCTACTACCACTGCGTGCAGATTGCGCAACGCATGGAGAGGATTTCGCCACGGAGGGAGGAGTACTACTTGCTAAAGGCGCTGTTGCTGGCCAACTGCGACATCCTGCTGGATGATCAGAGTTCGCTGCGCGCCTTTCGCGATACGATTCTCAATTCCCTCAACGACGTTGTCTACTTGCTGCGCCATTCTTCGGCAGTTTCGCACCAGCAACAGTTGCTCCTGCTGCTGCCTTCGCTGCGGCAAGCGGACGACATCCTGCGAAGATTCTGGCGAGGAATCGCACGCGATGAGGTTATTACCATGAAGAAACTATTTCTCGAGATGCTCGAGCCGCTGGCCAGGTGAAACAAAAAACAATGCGGGCGGCCAATCTAGTAGATCTAGCTGATTAGCAAAGGTGCAAATATAAACTTAAGTTGGACGTATACTGGCGTAGATTAAGCGTAGGATAAGCCATGTACATAGATAGTAAAATACTTGTCGGGTTAGATTAGTTCGCAGAGAAAAAAACCTCTTTTTAATGGGCTACCAACTACAGCAACTCAAAACCCTACTTAAGCCTAGAATCGGGGCGTGTTTACACTGGATAAAGGCGCCTACAGGTGTTGAATATCCACCATGAATTGTAAATGAGTCACAGTTCTCCAATAATTTGTTCAATGCAATTCTCAATGGTTTTGATGAAATGTGGAAACTTTCGGGCTCTTTAAAGTACTTTCTAGTAGTTTGAATACAAAAGATTATACTGTTTGTTAGTTGCATATATCCCAGTGCTTTTGTTGTTAATGTGTTACACTTGCGGTCAAAGAAAATAGCACTTTTAATTCTTATACAATAAATCAATTTAATTACTAATGTTTGTAAGCCCAATAACATTTTCCTTAGTTAAGTTTGTGAGAAACTCTTTGATAATTAAAATGAATTTTCATTTTCGTTTGGGTTTTCTCGTAAGGCTCTACTCATGTCTTCAGAAAAGTTAATGTTGTTTTAGTTGTTTTTAATGTGATTCAAATAAATGTGAATTTATTATATTTTCAAGTGATTTTCCCAAACTTCAGTGCTATAAATTTGATCGCATTTGTACATATTGGCTCCCAATTCCTAACAACAAACACTACATCTATTGGTTAGATATATCTCAAAACTTCACAAAAAGAACCATGCTCATGACCTTAAAGATTTCGCTTGGTCCAAAAGGCTTACAATTAGTGCTATCGATGGTCATATTTACATTTGCAGACTAGAGACTTTGCATCATCACCAACTAAAGCTAAACTCAATTAATGCTAAGGTGTATCGAAGTACTTGTTGGAGCTTTCCTGGAAGCGATCGCTGCGCGCTAGTTCGTTGCGGAAGTAGGAGATGGTCCGCTGCAGTCCAGTCTCGAGGGGAACCTTCGGCTCCCAGTTGAGATACTGCCGGGCACGAGTGATGTCCGGTTTTCTGCGCTGCGGATCGTCTTCCATGGCCTTCGTTTGCTTTATCACACTGGGTCCTCCGACCAGTTGCTTGATGATCTCGGCAAACTCGCCGATAGTCTGCTCCACCGGATTGCCCAAATTCACCGGCTGCGTGTAGTTGGATCCCATCAGGGCTATCATTCCATCCACCAGATCCGAAACGTACTGAAAGGAGCGGGTTTGCTTGCCATTGCCATACACCGTGATAGTTTCATTTCTAAGCGCCTGGAGAATAAAGTTGGAGACCACGCGTCCATCGTTCATGTGCATCCTGGGTCCATAAGTGTTAAAGATGCGCGCCACGCGCACTTGCACCTTTTCCTAAAGATATAGATACAATGCAATAGCAATTAGTTCGAGAGTCAGATTGCAGGCAGAGATCGAGAGATGTAGAAATCTTATCTTGTGACAAGCAGCGAAGCAGAACACCAATTAATGACATTTCAATTGAGATCATTCATTGACCAGCTACCGATTGAATCAGGAAAGATCTGCTACAATTCTGGTTTTCTCTATTTTCCAGTCTAAGTTCATGGAATGTGGTTCTCGGAAAGAACGGTCACCGTCAATTAATTTTGTGAAATGTTATTTGAATTACTATTAATGCACAAAGATTACAGCGATAAAAACGATCTGATATATTATCTGTTCATATTTAAAATTATTATTATTATTATATCTCAGTTTTAAATACGGAAATATATTTTTATTTGTCATGATTGTTATTTGATTGTAACTTTAAATGGTAAAATGTCATTATTTAATCAGCGTTTGATATTGAAAGTTTATTTTGCATTTAGACCGTTTTATTTGATAAAAAAAAAAGCAAATGAAGATTAGAAAAAGTTGACAGTAGAAGGGTAATTACTCTGCCACTGATAGCAATACAAAACAACATAGGAAGTAATGAATAGAAGAATAGAATAGAATAATAAAGTGGAAATATGTATCACCTGCTTGGCATACGCATAGCTCAGAGTCTCGGAGACGCGCTTTCCCTCGTCGTAGCAGGCCCTTGGTCCGATGGGATTCACATGGCCCCAGTAGGTCTCCGGCTGTGGATGCACAGTGGGATCGCCGTAAACCTCCGAGGTGCTGGCTATCAGGACTTTGGCCATCACTCGCTTGGCCAGTCCTTTTCCATAATCATTTTTAAAAAGTAATCTGTTAGGTTTGTACCCCTTTATCTGACTTCAACTACTACCTACCCAGCACATTGATGGTGCCCATGGTGTTGGTCTTGATGGTCTTAACCGGATTGTACATGTAGTGCGGGGGCGAGGCCGGCGATGCCAGGTGGTAAATCTCGTCGATCTCTATGAACAGCGGATTCACGATGTCGTGGTGGATGAGCTCGAAGTTTTCGTGCCCCAGCCAGTGCTCCACATTGCGCTTGCGTCCCGTGAAGAAGTTGTCCACCACGATGACTTCGTGACCCTGAACCATCAGGTCGTCTACCAAATGGGAGCCCACGAAGCCAGCTCCTCCGGTGATCAAGATGCGCTTGCGGTTCTTGTAGTTAAGGTACTTGACCTTCCGGTACTTGCGCGGCGTGCTCGTCTGCAGACTACGGATCTGCTCCTCCAACTGGGCCAGGTGTTCCCTGGTACGCAGCAGTTCGGCTTTCTGCTCCCGGATCAGGGAACTCTGTTCCTCGTAGGCCATCTGGAGGCTCCTCTGCAGCGGACTCTCCGTGGGCGGCCATCGGGCTTGTACCTCATCGCCGGCGGAAATCGAAATGGACGACATTCCACCTGCCGAAACACTGATTGCCCGGTACAGGTAGACCAGGAGCAGGAGGCCCAGCGAGGCGGCAGCAACGATCTTTAGGCGCTTCTTGGTGGCAGTCATCGTCGTCGGGTGGCGCAGGCGAAGGTTGTGTCGGAGGTTGTAAGTTGCGGGGTCCCAGTGCTTATCAGCAACTGATATCGCCACATTGCATTCTCGTCCGGCTAGGCTATAGAAACTATATAAACAATACGGCGACCAGAGTGACCAGTTCAAGTAAACTAAATCCCAACGAAAGTTTACGGTCTATCGCCAAATTACACTAAACTTTTGGTGAAGCTCGCGCCTTATTTTAAATTAACGGTAAAATAATTTTATGACCTACATTTATAAAATAATTCAATAACTATAAATAAGTCTAATAATTTACAGATTGTGATTGAAAATTAAATTAAGAACTATAATTAAGCATATTTTTTTAAATAAATAACTTAAACACATAGTAGGATCAATAGAATCGGTGGTGCTTACAAATGAAAATATAATTTCCTAAGTATAGGCTAACATAATATTTCAAATTGTTCTGCTCTTTTTTCCATCAAAATACAGTAGTTTTAGGACCCTAAGCCCAAGTCAAGCTAAGCCTTCAATTTGCATGTTCTAAGTTACAGAAGGCAGCTTCCTACGGAATTTTACTGCATCAGCTAAAAAGGTTTGACTGTTTTTTTGAAAAATGAATGTAAAATATTCAGAAAATTTCAAGATGACCGGCTTTCTACCGATAACCGGTTGACCGGTTGAACCGGTACCCCGTGTAAGCTTTTAGCTTTCACAGCCGTCGGTCACACTGCTTTTTGAGTCAGCTGCTTGTAGTTTTGCGATTTCATTGCAATTATAATTTGCTAAACTATTTAAACAGAAATACAGTGCGGACCATGCCGAACGAAAACGCAGACGACCAGGCCGGTCAGGAGCTGAAGCAGAAGGCCAAGGAGGTGGCTGTCGCCTCGGAGGAAATGCTCGAGAAGGTTCTTACCGGCTTAAAGATCCAGGACACGGGGTCGGCGAATATAGCCGGAAATGAGGATCCGGAGCAGGCGGATGGGGCCAAGAATGAGGCTTCAGTGTCCGCGGATGCAAGTAAGTTTAACGAACGCCGAATAAAGCGTCTTTCATTGGAACTGGAAAATGAGGTTAGGTTCGGTCGGAAACTACAGTCAAAGCACTTTAACATTAACTTTTCAATATATTAATAAAATTAATTAATTAAATTAATAGATAATTGCTTCCATTTGTTAAACTTATAAAAGAGTTAAATATAAAAATAATAATTTTAACTTTAATTTATAATTTAATAATTGAAGGATAAGACTTCATGAATCATAAATACATTTTTTTTTAAAACTCTTTTACATTATTGGGCCTTATGAGTTCAACAACGAAATTCTATTTAATAGATAAATAATCTATATCTTCCCAAAAATAATCTAAAATTATTATCTTGCTTTTAAGAAAATATTAAACCATAAATGTTTTGAAAACAAAAGCAGAAAACTGTAAACTTACTTCTTTTACAAATAAAATAAACCTAAATCTACTTTTTGCGTAATTTACAGTCAGCCTTCGGTAACTTCATGATATCATGATTCATGGAACATGTTTAAACAGCCAATTTTGGGGTGTGTATAGCTAGCCTTGCTTTTTTGTAAATCATGCGAAACTAGTATTCTGTAATTGCTTCTAATTTTCTATCTGACACACTTTTACTAAAGTATCAACAATTTGAGGGTAATAAACCATTTATTTTTGGGGAAGGAGCAGCTATGTATGTTAATAGTTCATTAAAATCAATCATTTCTATTCCAGGCAAGCAGGCATTGCTACAGGCCGTATCCGATGCGATGGCCAGCACCCGCCAGATGGCCAAGAAGTTCGCCTTCTGGTCCACACAGCCGGTCACAAAGCTGGACGAGCAGGTGACCACCAACGAGTGCATCGAGCCGAACAAGGAGGTCAGTGAGATTCGGGCGGAGCCCTACACTCTGCCCGGTGGCTTTAAGTGGGTGACCCTTGACCTGACCGATGCCAACGACCTCAAGGAGCTGTACACGCTCCTCAATGAAAACTACGTCGAGGACGACGATGCCATGTTCCGGTTCGACTACCAGCCGGAGTTCCTCAAGTGGTCGCTGCAGCCGCCGGGTTGGAAACGCGACTGGCATGTGGGCGTTCGGGTGGAGAAGTCCGGCAAGCTGGTGGGCTTCATCTCGGCTATTCCCAGCAAGCTGAAGTCCTACGACAAGGTGCTCAAGGTGGTTGACATCAACTTCCTGTGCGTTCACAAGAAGTTGCGCAGCAAGCGGGTGGCTCCAGTACTGATCCGTGAGATCACACGTCGCGTCAATTTGACGGGGATATTCCAGGCGGCCTACACGGCTGGGGTGGTGCTGCCCACGCCGGTGGCCACCTGCCGCTATTGGCACCGCTCCCTCAATCCCAAAAAGCTGGTGGACGTGCGCTTCTCGCATCTGGCCCGCAACATGACCATGCAGCGCACCATGAAGCTGTACAAACTGCCTGATCAGCCAAAGACAAAGGGCTATCGCCGGATCACGGCCAAGGACATGGACAAGGCCCACAAGTTGCTGGAGGACTATCTGAAGCGGTTTCATCTGAGTCCGGTCTTCAGCAAGGAGGAGTTCCGCCACTGGTTCACGCCCAAGGAGGGCATCATCGACTGCTTCGTGGTGGCCGACGAGAAGGGCAACATCACTGATCTGACCAGCTACTACTGCCTGCCCTCATCGGTGATGCACCATCCGGTGCACAAGACCGTGCGCGCCGCCTATTCCTTTTACAATGTGTCCACGAAGACGCCCTGGCTGGACCTGATGAATGACGCCCTGATCTCGGCCCGTAATGTCCAGATGGACGTTTACAACGCCCTCGACCTCATGGAGAACAAGAAGTACTTTGCGCCGCTGAAGTTTGGTGCCGGGGATGGCAACCTGCAGTACTATCTGTACAACTGGCGCTGTCCATCGATGCAGCCGGAGGAGATTGCCCTGATACTCATGTAGGTCCCTCAACACCTATGTTTACATTCTCGCCCTGCCTTTCGCCGCTCTCCCTCCTCCGCTTTGTCCACCCCGCTGGAAGTCCCGTGCGGCTGCTTTGCTTGGCTCCTGTCCATATCCACGTAGCTTTTACCCGTAATCTTCAGTTATTCCAGCGAGGGAAACCCTTTGCAAGTCACTTACCTAGCATCAATGTGAACACTGCATTTTGCAACGGCCAAGCTTGGATATTTTTTACTACAAAAACAAAACGAACACAAAATGAATAAAATGCGCAGCAATATCTATAGACTTTTTATGTGTAATGAGTTTTTGTTTCCGGTGGTGCTAATAGCTGACATGCACTGTAAATTGTACAGTTTAAAATGTTCTAGTATTCTTAGAACTCATTTGGAAACCTTTACACAGTTAATATGGTGATTATAAATTAGTTAAAATATAAAAACGGCAATATGTAATTTGATTGAAATAGTGCAGTAAGTATTGTATTATAATACAAAATAAATAACACATTAATTATTAATTAAGATATATATAATTTATAATTTTTATACCCTATCTGTTTTATAAATAAAACGATTAAACGGCATTTCCTGTATTTGTTGGCCACTGTTCTGCATGCGATAGTCTGGCAACTCTATCGCATCGGCATCGGTCTGGCAACGACAGCGAAAAAGCGCGGGCTCAGCGAAAACAGCTTCACTTGTGTTGGTTTGTTAGTTGCTGAAATCTTGTTCCAAATGTTTGTTTCCTAATATAAATAACAATTAAAGACAGCCGCCGATATGGACGATTCGGTGTTTAAGCTGAAATACCAGAAATACAAGCTACGTGTGAAGTTGTGGGAAAAGGATTTCAAAAAGAAAAATGGCCGGGTTCCATCGAAGGTGAGATTGGGATCTAGATAATATTATCGTCAAATTAAATAAAATAAATTAAATTATTGTGCCAGTATGATATACGGGAGGCCAGCCAAGAGATTCGCGACTCCTACAAGATGTACTACAAACTGAAGACCTCCTTCCTAGAGGAAACACTGAACGATGTGCTCAGCGAGGATGGCTACGATATCCTGGAGATGTCGCAGGCCAGTGATCTGGGCGTAAGCCTGCTGGATCAGGATGTCAGTCTTGGTGGTGGCCCCCAACTGCCCCTTGATATATCCGCACTGGTGGAGCCACAGAGCTCTGCCAATCTGGGCGAGAATCCGCAACAGGCGCAGGGCTCGTTTTCCAATCTTCAGGATCTGCCCAATCGCCAAGTGCTCACCAATCTGGTCAACCGCGACGAGAACCATGTGATCCGTAAGTTCGAAGCGGTGGATGAGCTGCCGATCAACCGGAATGCCTGGGGCATGGAAGTCAGCAAGAAGCAACCAGATCTGGGGCAACCCCTAGAGGCTTCTCTTTCGGCTCCGGTGCAGGGAAAACCGCTTAAGGCTACCGCCAGTCTTAAGCCCAGCTTGAGTGCCAAGCTATTCAAATCCACAAGCGGATTTGCCAAACGAAATCCCCGCAAGCCGTTGTCACGCACTTCAGTCAACGCATCCAGTTCAACCACATCCCTCAGCTCAGTTCCTTCTGCTTTGGCAGAAGAACTGCCCGATTTCGAGACCATACTAATACGCAAGGCGCAGGAGTACAAGGAGAAGGAGCAGGCCTTAGCCACTAACACGCTGCTGGCCGGCGATCACACTAAGGAAACTATCAAAACGCAGGTGGACGACGGCTGGCTGCAGCGGAACACAAAGGAGAATACTCTTGAGGTGGAGTCGCCCCTTCCAGCAGCACATAATAATAATGGTCCGCCAAAGAAAACCAACTTTGGACTGGCCAATCTTGATTTGAGTAAACTAAAGTCCACTGCCAAGGAGGAGCAGCTGGTGCCGGTAAAGATCGAAACGGTAGCCAGCACAGAGGTGCTGCAATCTGTTGACAGTTCTATAATGAACCAGAAACCGGCTCCTGCTGCAACCAACCAGAAGCCACCTGCTCCCAAGCTAAAACATCCTCCTGCAGAACAGGACACTGATTCCGATTCAGACTCTGTTGTGGCTGAAAGCGAGGAGGAACCGGAGCCCCAGGAGTACCGACAGCTGGCCAAACGGCGCAGGATTATGCCAGCCACAGCAGGATCTTCTGAGGCAGCCGAAGTAGCTGAAATAGCCAACAAATCCGAACCGAAACCTGAAGCTGGGGCTCCAGTCGATCCAGAGGCTGATTATGCTATGGACTTCTCCGCCGACGAAGATGGGGATGCAACCTATGAGCCGAAGAAGAGCAAGAAAGAACAGGCAAAGCGCAAACAAGCAGCCGGAAAAAGGAAGACCCCCAAACCCAAGGCGGAAGCTAAGCCCAAAGCTGAAAAGAAACCCAAAGTCAAAGCGGAGAAGAAACCCAAGGTGGAGAAGAAGCCAAGGAGCTCTAAGAAGGTCTCTGCTGCTGAGCCTCCGCCTGTTGCCGAGGAGGAGGAACAGAGTCAGCCCTTGAATCCGGAAGACTTGAGGTACGTGCTGGCGTTGGAGGCAGGCGACATAACCTCCGTTCCCCGAATCAATCAGCAGGATCTGGAGAAAGCAGACGCCACTGCGCGGCGCTATATAAGCACTTTTGCAGCGGCACCCAGGACAGAGAACAGAGCAGAGGGATCCAACCCGCTGGTGGATGAAAAGCGATCCGCTGCCCGAAAGAAACTGGAGGAACGGATAGCTACTGGGAAATTAAACGAAAACTTTGTCACCATCAACATTCAAAAGAAGAAATTTGTGCGCGGCAAAAAGAGCGTGAACTTCAGCAAGTACAAGAAGCAGCAGTGGCGGCACAAGAAGCGCGTGGCTGCCTTGAGTGGCCCGGATATGGACATGGGTGGCTGCGACGGCGGAGTGCTCACCTGCTTCCAGTGCGGCGGAGTGGGACATTTCGCCCAGCAGTGCAAGGTGAAGGGGGACAGCCTGTTGCCCCTATCCGCCCAGTTGGAGGAGGATCCCTCGCCATTCCCCACGCTCGCCGAGGCCCAGGAGATGGCCAGCCAGGGAGCTGTGGTGGCCCACAGTCGCAACATCTCCAGACTTCCCCAGGCGGCCAATGCGGCCATCCTGCAGGGTGAGGAATCTAAGCAATCCGATGACTCCGAGGAGGAAGTTCAAGACGGCAGCGGTAATGAGGAGGGACAACCGCATCCGGAGCCGGACTGGTCCAGCGATGATCCGGACATCGACTTTGAGGCTCTGGACGCAGCAGTCGAAGCCTCCCTAAGTCAGCCGCTTTCCCAGGAGAAAGCTGCTTCGCCCATTAAAACATACGTTGGCCACAAGATTCCCGAGGAGTTCCTCAAGCAGGCTGGCCTGGACACCACCGCCTCCACCTCGAATAGCAGCCAGCACGGCGGGGTAAAGCCCTTATACGACCTCCTGCCGGATGGAAGTGTCCAGGACACGACGCCGGAAGTGCTGGAAGCCCTGCACATGTTTGGCCACAGTAATTTCAGAAAGGGTAAGAAGAGTATTACATTACATTTCATTGTATTGTATTAGAATTTAATTAATTTAATTAATCCCTTAACAGGTCAGGATCGGGCCATCATGCGCACCCTTTCCGGTCTCTCCTCGCTGGTTACCCTCAGCACAGGCAGTGGCAAATCGCTGTGCTACCAGCTGCCCGCCTATCTGTATAGCCGCAAAATGGGAGCCATCACGCTGGTCATCTCACCGCTGGTGTCGCTCATGGAGGACCAGGTGACCGGGGTGCCGCACTTCCTGCGCGCCCACTGCCTGCACACCAACCAGACAGCGCCGCAGCGTATGAAGATCCAGCAGATGATTGCCGACGGGGAAATTGACATTCTGCTGGTTTCGCCGGAGGCTGTGGTTTCCGGCGAGCGGGCCACCGGATTCGGGGCCATTCTCCGCCAGCTGCCGCCCATTGCATTCGCCTGCATTGACGAGGCACATTGTGTGTCCCAGTGGAGTCACAACTTCCGGCCCAGCTACCTGATGATCTGCAAGGTGCTGCGAAAGAATCTGGGCGTCCACACGGTCCTGGGTCTGACGGCCACCGCCACGCTGCCCACCAGGGTGAGCATCATCAATCACCTGGGCATCACGGACGGGGAGCGGGGCGTCATCAGCGACATCCCCCTGCCGGACAATCTGGTGCTGTCCGTTTCCAAGGATCACAACCGAGATGCGGCCCTGCTCCAGCTACTCAATAGCGAGCGGTATACTTAAATCTCAATCTCCTTGAAAGGCCTGTTCTTCTTACGATTTCCGATCATTCCATTCCAGCTTCGAGCCCTGCCAGTCCATCATCATCTACTGCACACGGCGAGACGAGTGTGAGCGAATCGCTGGCTTCATTCGAACATGCGTGCAGGATCGGCGACAGCCCGCCCAGGAGCAGGGCAAGAAGCGCAAGCGGGTCAACTGGCAGGCGGAGCCGTACCATGCCGGAATGCCCGCCTCGCGGCGACGCACTGTCCAGAAGGCCTTCATGGGCAACGAGCTGCGCATCGTGGTGGCCACCATCGCCTTCGGCATGGGCATCAACAAGCCGGACATTCGCGCCGTCATCCACTACAATATGCCGCGGAACTTCGAGAGCTATGTGCAGGAGATCGGACGAGCAGGTCGCGATGGGTTGCCATCCCATTGCCACCTCTTCCTGGACGCCAAGGGTGGCGATCAGTGTGAGCTGCGCCGGCATGTCTACTCCAACTCCATTGATCGGCATGTGATCCGCAAGCTGTTGCAAAAGATTTTTGTGCCGTGCGCCTGCGACAAGCAGGCTTCCCAGGGAGCTGCTATTCCTCCAATGGCTCTCGAAGGCGACGGTCCGAGGGTTCATGTGTGTCCGGGTCACGAAATAGGCTTCTCCGTGGAGAAAACCGTCGAGATGCTGGACATCCCGGCGGAGAACATATCCACGCTGCTCTGCTACATGGAGCTCGAACCGCGCTGGTGCATCAGTGTGCTCAGCTCGGCATATGTGATGGCCAAGGTGATCTCCTACGGCGGGCCCAAGTACCTGAAGTGAGTAGTGATGCTACATTTTGATGCCTTAAGTGATCTCAGCTTACTTCTCTGTTTTTCCCCCTTTTTCAGGCACGCAGCAAAAGAATGTCCACCGTTGGCCATGGCCATTGCCCTGCAGATTAGGGACAAGACCTTCAAGGAGGACTCGAACATCATTGAGTTCTCTGTGACGGACATTGCAGCGGGAATCGGTTGGAACAGCGGCGTGGTCAAGTACCAACTGAAGGACTTGGAGTGGGTAAAAGGTGAGATAGTACTGCATATTTAAAGTCCTTACAGTTTCATAACCACAATCCTCGAAAAAGTGAATGGATTTCCAAAGCGTTCGCCCATCACGGTGAGCTTCTATGACTTGGGCTTCCGCATCAAGGTGCCGGGCGATTTTACGGAAACGGAGATCGACAGTGCTTTGGACACACTCTATACGCGATCTGTGAAGCAGGAGCGGACCCAGCTCATCCAACTGCAGTATGTGGCCCACGGCTTGGCGGCGGTGGCCTACAGTTCCTGCAGCCAGTGCTGCAATGCGGACTTTCCCCAGGATCGGGGCGAGCAACTAAAGGCTATTGTGCGGAACTACTTTGCCAATGACTACCCGCAGGATCTGGAGTTGGAAGTGGAGGTACTTGCTTGGCCCCCACCATATTCATGTACGTTAATTACAATTTTGCTTTCGTCTTTCAGCCCAGCAACGTGCCGGATGAAAGCATCACGGACGACGTCCATGCCCTGATTAACATGTATCCGGACAACACGTTCAGCGGACGGAACATTGCGCGCATCTTCCACGGCATCACGAGTCCCAACTATCCGGCCGTCATTTGGGGACGCTGCAAGTTCTGGCGCGCCCACGTCAAGGTCGATTTCAATCGCATCCTGCAGCTGGCGAACATGGCCATCATCAAGAGGCGCACCTGATCGGTATCGTTGGATTGATGTGAATTCCCATATGTGATGCCCTGGTGAACCCATAAAATATCTCTATGAATTTGAAATTATGTGATGCCATTCTATAACATTTGTGGCTATTGTTCTTTTAAGTCTATTCAAATATAAAAAAGCCCTTTAGGTAAAACATTTTTCTAAAGCTTTTTTACCACTATCGAAAGTTGTTTAAAGTGATGACTTAAAATTGTAATTCAAGAAGTTTTTTTTCCACGATTTAGATAAGTTATGGGGTTGTGTCCCTGCTTTCTCGTGACTCGGGTTTGCGACTCGGCTTTTGAACGTCTGCATGGGAGGGTGTCTCCGCTTTAGTTCTCTCTGGTAACAGGACTCTGTAAGGCTGCTCTGTTAAATTGGCTGTTAAAAGGAGAAGCCCACGCAAAATATTATAGCAAAAAAACCAAGTTTCGCTTATGCAGATATTTGGCAGCGCCATTTGCACCGGAAGTGGCAGCGGCGGAAAGCTAACAATGACTTAAAGCCGAGACACCTTCCAGCAGAGGACTAAAAGCAAGGACACAGTGAAACTGCTTGTTTAGAGTCTAGTACTAATGTTAACAAGATATCGCAAAATGACGATAACGAAGAGCGACGTATATTCTGAAATTTTTTTAACCAATAAAATAGAAGGCACAATAAACTAACTCTGCAAATAAATGCCTGAAAGTTCGAGTAAAAGCAAAGTTAACACAACGTTTTTCTGTAAAATTAAATATTTATTAACTTGATATTTTTGTTTTCTCGTTAAACTAAAACTATTATTCACATCCTATGTTAAACAACATTAATGTACTTCCCACATCTACCATTTAAAATTATTTTCTTTTTAAAATCAACAATTGCATTTTGAAACAAAAGGCAAAACCAGCACTTGCCCTTTATAGTTATGAAAAACGATTTGATGCTATCGATTAGGTCAAAGGTTGAACGAAATCCATTCAATTGCACTTTCTTTGTTTGTGCCGTAAATATTCTTAGCCAGCTTTCGTGCTGCAGTGTGCCCCAACTCCAACTTCCGTTGACACCATCGTCCTATTAATTATTCAGATTCCTAAAGAATTTTAACAACTTTGCCTTTGCTTTTCTTGTCTTATCAAAAATGCAGTATTTCGACAAACAAATAAACACATGAATAAAATAAAGCCGAAAAGATTTATAATTGAACTTCAAGCGGAGTCAACGCGGCATAAAGTAAGAAATTGAATATCCGGAAAAGAAAAGCGGAAAATCGGGGGCAAAAGAAAAACTTTTTCAAATATAATTGTAATGAGCAAGAAACTTTGGCCAGTGGGTTGAGCCTAGACGGAAATATTGTGGTCCTCGTTCCTTCTGTTTCTTCTCTTCTTGGACTGTCGTTAAAGTTAAATGGCCTGTGTGATTGCCCCAGAGTGGGCGAAGGACGAAGGACAAAAGGGGGTGGTACTGCACTCCAAGGTCGTAATGAAGGCAGACAAACCAAATCAGGCAGCATCGCTTACAGATTGCATTTCCCTCAGATGATTTCCTTCTTAATTTTGTTCCTCGATTTCTCATTCTGCTGTACTGCTGTGCGCTATTTCCCAGGAGTTGTAGACTAGGTATTAGAAAGTTTTTTAATTAAATTTAATTTATACATTTTTTTTGTATCTAAAATTTCAAATCTTTTTTATTGAAATTTATCCAAAACAAGAGGAATAGCAACCAAAAGACTTTGTTTTCCCATTTAAAAGTATTTCTTTTCAGAATATAAATGTAAATTTCAGAATGTAAGGTTACAAGAAACATTTTTCGAAAGCTTTGTATAGAATATTATATTTATTTTATATAGAATATTTTTTGGCTTTGACGGAAAGTCAACATTATTAGTTTTTTTAGATTAAAAACCAAAAGTATAGTCTACTTCCCTTGAGCTATAATCTGAATCCTTTACACGTTAATTGGCAACTATTTTGGATAACCCATGACTAATCAAAAACAGCTTCTGGGTTGAAATGAAAATCTCATTGAATTGTTAACTTTGTTCCATTCTTTGGCGGCAAATCATCCGCATAAAAAAGCGCAAAATATGTGAAATATGTGCAAATGTCAGCTTTTCAATCCAAATCAATAAGCTTTGAATGACACGCAGCTCGTGGACTGAGAAGGGCGAAAAGGGGATGGGATCGCCCAGTTAGAGGCGTAAGATACATTGTTCCAGACCTGAAATCCACTCGAAATTTCCCCCATTTCCATTTCCATTTCCATTGCCATTCGCAGCTCCCTTCGGTCGGTGTCACATTTTGCATGATTTTGCTGACAGAAGTTTGTTTGTTGCCTGTTGACATATGGTGGTGAAATCGGGGGGAAAATCAAGGGAAACCAGGGGCAAATCGGGGGGTTTGGGGAACCCAGAGAGGTGATTGCCGTTTAAATTACGAAATCATGCAGGAGTAGGCAGGCTGAGTAAGGGAACAAGGGGGGAGGGGAATGGGCAGAGGCAGGAAGCTGGTGGGTTTTGAAATTATAGTGCATTTGTGTTTTGTAATTAGACCCCAAATACCTATCGATGGCCCAGGATGAGAGGGATTGTGTGTGCTGTGCTGTGCGTTGTGCTGTGTGTTGTGTTGTGCGTTTGCAGAGGTTTTTCACAGTGTGTGAAAAGTGGCCTAATGAGGCATCACTTTTGGTTCAATGTAAAGCCGAAGCCCTTCAAAAAAAAGGCAGACAAATATCCGTAAAACGATCGCTGCAAAGCTCTCAGTGCGAAATATAATCAGGGCAAATGAATGCACTTAGTGGTTTCGATTTGTTTCGCTAAAGAAGTATTTTAACGAGGATTTAACGGGGATTTCGAATAAATCAACTGAATTGAATACATTTATCCCCTTATGTTGGATAGCGCACAACTTGAACATTATATTTATTAAATAAATAGCACCAAAGTGCTACAGAAAAATCAGCATGAGATAATTTTTTTTTTGTATTTATTTTATTTTTTTCTAGAAATGCTTTTTAGCAAAATTTCCGTTTTTGACCTACATTAAAAGCGATTTAAAAAAAATACAAAATCTTTATTTTATTTTATTTTTCTCTGCCTTAGTCATTTGTAAATTTTTGTTTATACTTTGATCCAAAATATTATTCTTAACGAAATCCGATTTGCTGCATGTCCATATTATCGGAAGCCAAGCGAATGGCCTGCTCTGTTTTGTTTTTAAGTTAGCTGCTGGCAGCACTGATATTATTCAAAAAAAGTTTCCCCAAAGTGGTTTAGAGTTGCATATTGATGAAAAAAAATATATTTTAAAAAATAAAATAACTTACGAAATACAATTGTGCTGGGTAAGTAATATATAAGATTCAAATTAATGCCAAATTTGATGTTTTACATTTGTCCCTCTCCATTTTATACCTTTTACGCTCAATTTTCTTTCCTCATTTCCGGGTTTTTCCTTACAAACTCGCATTCAATCGGTCTCAAAAACCATGGCAGTTTCTGTTTTATCGCTTGTACCATCGATATCCCTGAAATCCCAGCCAACAAATTGGCATTTGAGCTGACACATTGAGGACGCTTTTGCCTGCTCTTCACAACTTCAATCGATTTGCCCAAGATTTGCACTCGCATTTAGAGTCTCGTGTGCTGTCCTTGTGGCAACAAAAAAAAAAAAAAAAGGGAATAGAATATATATCTACGTACATCCAGATGAATTGGCAACTGCGATGATGATGCATCAATGCATGCAAATTTGTTAGCCACAAATAAGTTGGGCCCAAAGTGGTTTTCGGGCTTTGCACACAATAGTTTGTTGTAGTTTGTTGTATTTTGTTGCTCTTGCTGCTGAAAATTGTGGCTTCTGTTGCTATTGTTGTTGTTTCTATTGTTGTTGTTGTTGTTGTTGTTGCTGGCGGCTGTCAATGGCAGTGATTTACATAATATGCCCAACTCGATGCAACAATTTCCTGTGTGCTCGAACCCAAAATATTTGGCAGCCTTTGTTTGCCTGTTTGCTCTGCTCTTGGCGAATACTTTTTTTTGTTTTGGCCCTGTCAAAAGTTATTAGTCAGCAGGTGAAAAATCAATTCGGTGGGCTTTCGGTCAAACAAACATTTCATTATTTTCGTCTCTGGGCAACAGATAAACCAACACTTTTTGTCAACTGTCAAATGCAAAATTCATTGAGAGACTCAACGAAATTTATGGCTCTTCATTTAGGCCATGCCTCGCAATTGGCCTAAACAATTGCTAATACGATTTTTCCCTTTTGATTGTGCGTGTGTATGTGTGTGTGTGTGTGTGTGCGGAAATTGATTTGGTTTTGCCAGCAGACTCACAAATCCCTGGCTTGTCTCTTAATTTTTGATTGCTTTGTGGCAAATCGAATGAAACGCCCAACCACTTGGAGTCTAAATTAACTTAAACAAGTCAATAAATTTAATTAAGTAATTATTTTACCAGCTGTACATTGGTATAGTTACCCCCCACACACACACACACACACGTCATTTCTAATCCAAAATTTCTGCATTTCTCTCTCCCCAGTTGCTTGCAAATTTGTTGCATACGCATAGGCGCTGCCCACAAATTTGATGACATCTCTCGTCCTTCGTCCTTCTACCCCTTCTACCCCCACCCTTTTGTCCAAGTTGATGTCTTGTCAGGCAAAATCATGGTCAATTTTATGCATGTCCCTTGTTGAACAACAGCAGGCGAGAACTATGAATAGTCCGAATTGACAAGTGTTTAAGGGGGCACAAAGGCGAACTGAAGGAATGAGGGGTGGCTGGGGGAGCTAAGGGGAGCGGGGGGGTCTTAACCCATTCAGGATGTGGGCCAAGGGTGGTGGGCAGGCCGTCAGTGGATTCGGTTGTGGTCACATGGCTGGCTTCCACTTCATGTGACGAGCGATGGACGTTGCTTGTGGAGAACACCCCTTTGATTTTGTTTACACATGTAAATATGAGTGTTTTGGGAGGCATAACTGCTAAGCTATTCGAAATGTACTAATGTTATTAGATAAGTTTGCAATATTTGCTAACCAAGAACTGGCAAATAACTCATTCGTGGTTTAAGTTTAATTTTATTAAAATATTATTAAAATATTATAAATAAATAAAAACAGAGTGCAATTACTAAAAAAAAACCTACTAAGGTATGTTACAAAGTTTTAA